TCCTGCCCCCGAACCGTTTTCGGTGGAAGACCCATCCGTAAACACGGTCCAGACTTTCTTGTCACTGTCCAACACTTCTTGGTATGAGCATTCGGCCAAGAAATCCGCCAGGGCTTGAGCCTTGATGGCAGCCCTCGGACGGTAGCTGATGCTGAATTCGGTGAGCTCAAAAGCCCACTTGGCTAGTCTACCGGATTTTTCAACCTTGCCAAGAACTTTTTCCAACGGCTGATCAGTTAAGACCACTATCTGATGGCAATCAAAATAGGGCCTCAGCTTCCGAGCAGCTACCACTACCGCGAAAGCAACTTTCTCGAGTAGAGGATAGCGGGTCTCGGCATCCGTCAGTGTATGACTGACGAAATAAATCGGTTGCTGACTCTTACTCTCTTCCCTCAGCAATACTGCGCTGATGGTGGCTGGGCTAACGGCCACATATAGGTATAGAGTTTCTCCTTCAACTGGGCTAGCCAGCGTTGGGAGTTGAGCCAGATGCTCCCGAAGCTGTTGAAAGGCATCTTTTTGCTCTTCCTCCCAAACAAGCTCTTTTGTTTTCGGGAGTTTCAGGGCTTTGAAGAAGGGTAACCCCTTATCCGAAGCTCTAGAAATGAACCTCGAAAGGGCTGCCATTCTTCCGGTGAGCCGCTGAACATCCCTCTTCGTTTTCGGCTCAGGAAGGTCGAGCGCCGCTTTGACTTTAGAGGGATTGGCATCAATCCCCCTTTTGCTGACCATGAAACCCAGGAATTTCCCTGACTTCACGCCGAAGACACACTTCTTCGGATTCAGCTTCATTTGATGCTTTCTCAAGGTGGCGAAAGTTTCAGCCAGGTCCTTTACATGGTCCTCTAGTTTTTTGCTTTTGACGATTGAATCGTCAACATAGACTTCCATGTTTCGGCCCTTTTGATCGGCGAAAACTTGATCCACCAGCCTTTGATAGGTTGCCCCCGCATTTTTCAATCCGAAGGGCATCATTTTGTAATTATACACCCCAGCGTTCGTGACGAATGCTGTCTTTGCTCGATCGTCGGGGTGCATGAAGATCTGATGATACCCTGAGAATGCGTCCATGAAACTAAGCAAGGCATGGCCACTTGTCGAATCGACTAGCTGATCGATTCTTGGCAAGGGATAGAAATCCTTTGGGCAAGCCTTATTTAGGTCCGTGAAGTCAACGCACATCCTCCAGGTACCATTGGGCTTCTGAACCATCACCACATTTGCCAGCCATTCCGGATATTGGCAAGGTTCAATGAATCCTGCCTCCAATAATTTTTTGACTTCGGCTGCGATGTCTCGGTTCTTATTGGCGGAGTAATTCCGCTTCTTTTGCTTAACTGGTCGACACGCTGGGTCAACATTAAGCTTGTGGGAGATGAGGTCTGAACTTATCCCGGGCATATCAGCTGCCGAGAAAGCAAACACATCTCTGTTATCCCGAAGGAGCTGAATAAGTTCACAACGGGTGTCAGGATCAAGGTCCATCCCGATTGTTACACATTTCTCAGCATCTCCTTCGGCCAACTCAACTGTTTCAGTCCGTTGGTCCATGTCCATTGCCGATGGACTGGACTCTTCAGAATCTGGTCTGCTGCCAATGTCAGCAGGTGTCCCAGTCTTTGTGTTCTTCGGCTGGCTCTCTGAGTCTTTCGGCTCAGATGAAGAGTCAACCTTTTCCCTTTCGGGACCTTTTTCTCTGGGCACTGATCCTTGGGCCGAAGCACTTAGGCCTTTCGGCTTTTTTGTGCTTGGCTCTCTTTCTTTTTCTTTCTCCTCTTCATCCTTGTCGTTATCTGGGCGACTACTGGATGGCTTGAGGTAGTTGCACCTTCGGGCGTCCTTCTGGTTGCCCTGTATCCTTTCGGGGAAGCCGGCGTCTGAGACGTAAATCATCAGCTGATGATAAGTTGAGACGACCCCTTGGATCTCGTGAATTATGGGTCTCCCCAAAATCACGTTGTACACTGAAGGAGCGTCGATGACCAAAAACTCAATCATGACGTTCCGGGCTGCCTCATCGCAACCGATGGTGACAGGAAGCGTCACCTTCCCATCTGGATAAGTTGAAGCCCCATTGAACCCGGATACCGGATAGGGTACCGGCGTAAGGTGCTTGGGCTTCAGCTTAATTTGGTTGTAGGCCTTTCGGAACAGAATGTTTGCTCCGCTGCCACCGTCAACAAGGACCTTACTGACGTCGTGGTTGGCCACCGTGGCGATGATCACCAACGGATCCTCGTGAGGGAACGTAATCCCCCGGCAGTCGGCGGCTGTGAACGTCATGTTCGGCACCGGCGACTGGGGAGATTGAATGTCAGCGTTGTTCACCTGGTGAGTCAAAGCTCTAAGGTGACGCTTGTGCTCCCTCCGAGAGTATATTCCTCCCGAGATAACATTGATCGGAGGGAATTTCCCCTCCGGTTTTTTACTGTTTTTCCGAGGGAAATCAAGGTCCTGCCGAGGGTCCTTTGCTAACCTTTCGGATTCTTTTTTCTCGCGGTGATCCGCGATGTATTTTTTCAAGTATCCCTTCCGGACCATGTCTTCTATCTGGTGCTTCAGCTGGATACACTCTTCAGTGTTGTGGCCCGAAGACTCGTGGAACTCACACCACTGATTTTTATTTTTTCGCTGATACCACTCTGGGAGTGGTCTCGGCTTTCGGTAACTCTGCTCCTCCTTCGTCACACTGTAAATTTTGGCGCGTGGAAGAGAGAGCGGAGTGTAGGACTCGTATCTGCCTGTGTATGAGGCAAACCTGTCCTTCTTTAGGTCGCTGGCCGAAGATGGCTCCGAGGCCTTTGATTTTCCCTTTGCCTTATGGCTTTGGCCTTCAGACAAGGGTATTTGCCTCTGTTTCCCTCCCCCGGATTGAGGTTGGGTTTTTGCTTTATTCCATTCTTCGGCTCGGATGAACTTATCCGAAGCACTAAGAGCTTCCTCCAAGGTCTGCGGGGTATGCATGACCATGAAGTCTAGGAATTTTCCTGGCTGAAGGCCATTCTGCATTGCAAAAACAGCTAGCCCCTGGTCCAGCTGAGAGACGCTTGATGACTCGTTACTGAAACGGGTCAGGTAGTCTCGGAGGCTTTCAGTTTCCCCCTGTTGCAGACCCATGAGCTCTGCGGTAGTCTTCTCTCGGCGGTTTGCCGTGGAAAACTTGCTTCTGAACTTGGAGGACAGATCATCCCAACCTGTTATGGAGCCTTGCCTTACTCCCTTGGAGATCCACGCTTGCGCGACCCCCTTGAGAGTGGTTGGGAAATATTTGCACCAAGTCGCCTCGGATCTGGGGCAAAGATGCATATGAGTCTCATACGAGGCCACGTGGTCCTTCGGATCCGTGGTCCCGTCATATGTGATATGCGACGGTATTTTAACCGTGGGTACGCGCTCTTCTAGTATCCATTGCTCGAATGGTGAACTAGCGGGAAGCATAATGGCCTTGCCCTTGTTCCTGGCCGAAGGGACCGCGCTCCGCCCTCTCAGAGAGGTAGGAGTGGTTTTCGTCCCTGGCTGGGAAGTCTGGGCCTCGGCTGCAGGGAACGTGAGGCGACTACGCACGCTCGGTTCCTGGCCGCCGAGTCGGTCAAGGACGCTTCTGCGAGCAGTCTCAGGTTCCCGGCGAGCAGATTCTGGCCGAGAAGCTGAGCTGCTGCTCTTATGCGCTGCTGGTCTTGAGGATGAGGATCCTTTAAATAATTGAGAGTTCTTCTTCCTCTGTTTTTCATTTTTCCAAGAATCCTCCTCCCACTCTTCCAGTTCCCGGAAGGAAGGAAGCTTCCCACCGTCATGGTCTAACTTCCTCCGCTGATGCCGGGTATGCGGAGGAGTTCGATCACGAGGCGGTGGCATATTCTGTGCCCTCATTGCCTCCATGAGTACTGCCAGCGCTCTTGCCACCTCTTCCGAACTGGGCCCCGTCAAAGGGGTCTCCGGCCGAGTGTGGGCATGAGGCCGTGCAGCCGATGGTTGGCTTCGGGACACTGAATATGTCCTATGATCAGACTGACCCCTGCTAGACCGAGAGTGGTCCGGCCTATATTGAGAGTCATGCATTATAGGAGATAGGGAATCCTCCTTGTGTGATCCTCCCCCCGAGCCGGCACCCTTGGGAGAGTTCCGGTCCGGCGAGGGCGATGGTGTAGGGGTTTTAGGCTTTTCGCCCGCTCCTTGACGGAGGCTTTTGCTCTTGCGGTTCTTAGCCATGGCTGCTAAGACAATTGCAAGATGATCTTGGTTAGGAATTTGGCTTAAAGATTTTTGAAAGTCTTCCCCACAGACGGCGCCAAATTGTTTCGGTTGAAAACAATGGGACCTTGCCGAAGGTCCACTAAAATGGAGAAGACTGGATTCGATCCAAGCTGTGTTGGGCCGAAGGTTTCCTGCACAGTTAACACACGTAAACTAGCCTCGGGGGTGTTTCCGAGGAAGGCCCCTCCGATGCTAAAGTCAGTACAATGTGTAAAAAGGAAGACACTATGCAAGAGAGTTTGTAGCTTGAGGCTTTTGTGGAGTATTTCTCAATGCAAGAATGAGCATATGAGTTGGAATAATCCGTGTATGAGATAATGTATGTGATGATGCATGTGTTGTTGTGTCTGATAGTGTATATGATGTTATGAGATGTCAATATGAGGGCTTTTATACCTCATCATGCTTGGAGAGGTTGGGCTTTAGCCCAATTGGCTTACTTTGTGGGCTGACTTTTGACTTTTGAGCAATTGGAGAGTTGAACCTTGACCTTGGGCTTTTAATTGGATCATTTAGTGCTCCGGCCCAATTTTGACTAAATTGGACCCAAACATCTATCAAATTATATAGTACACAATTTAATTCTCATAATTTTTTTCTAATACAGAACAAATGAACCATGTAAATATGTAATATATGGGTGTATTAATTATATTGTTACATAATTTTTCTCTGTTTTCTTCGAATTTCATCTCTAAAATTGATTGTTCAATGCTGATCTTACTTTTATTATGATCGTGCAGTTTGATTACTATGTCCGAACACCTAAAGTATACGAATCATACGTATTCTACGAGAAGACATTGAAATCAATAGACAATCTCTTGGGATTCTTGGCATAAGCTCCTCACAAAACAGAGGACTCTGTTTGAACTCTGCCATAATTTCTGCAGCATCAGTTCAGTACATATGATAGTTGTTGTAATATTGAATATTATTCAGCCCGACTTTTTTCGCTGAATAACGTTCTATTTAGCTTGTTTTTCAATTATATATCGAAAATGATTATAAAGTCACTTGATTAATAATCATATTCAGATTTGGAGTACAAACTAAGACCAATCTGTTCGAGATACATTCACAATTTACAGTACTATACTGTCTCAGATTAAAAACAGATAAAAGTAAAAATCAAAACACACAAAATAACAGTAGAAGAAAATATACATTTCAGTTCTTCAGGTGTAACATGAATTAGTGATGGCGGGAGATAGCGAATGCTGACAAGAGGATAAGTAGAACGAACATGACAATTGCGACATAGGAGCCGATTAGGGAACCAGAAGTACGCTCACAGAAGTTGTTGAACTGCTGACAGATTGCGAACCAGTTGGCCGAAGCATTGCCTTTGTGTGCCAAGTATACGATTGCTGTTGCTGCTGAAGCTGCTGATGTTAATAGACCCAATGCAAGCTATATACGAAAGGGAAAGAGTGATTAAAAGAAGCACCAAACACGAAAGATAGTTACTGATAGAGTATAAAACATATATCATATATGGGCCTCAACCATCAGCTTAAGCATTTGATTGAGATGGTCCACTAACAATTAAACGTTCTTAGAGTTATTTTTGCTAACAAGTTTTTCTATGTAATATTTGCTTAGTATTTTAAAGAAAATGAAGAACAAAGTATCAGAAAACTACAGGAAATATTACGAAAGAAGTAACTAAGTAATATATACCATGTCAAGAATGGCCAAAACAATCCTGGTGACTTTAGCTCCACTTCGAATGATGTGGAAGATAGACAGTGTAAGAGAAAGTACCAAGTAACCTGTTATTATCGCGTTTGCCACCACAAAGAACCTATATAGAAGTAAAGGAAGAAAATCATGTTATGTTTGCAAACGAAAAAGACTAGTTAGGATTAGGACTACATAATATTTTTGAGAAGGTGGAATTGTAAACTTACGTGAATGTTGGGAGATCATCATATTCAGCTCTAAACCGAATAAATTGAGTGAAAAATGGGAGTGTTTCATTAGTTGTTCCCATAGCAATCGCGCTTGCAAGGGTAGCAAGGCCAGCAACTACCCTAAAGAGGAAGTCGGGGATGGATAGTCCTCGACTTGCACTAGCAGCACCCTTTGAGGTCTCGCCGGCTTCAAGTCCTCCCTTTGACATTTTGCTTTCTTTGTGGATGATCTATACAAGTACTTTAGTAGTTTTTGGGACTCTTAAGCTTTTTAATAGCTCAAAAGATGTAGATGATTTGATGAATGATGAAGAGAATGAGTTGCAAATGGTGTATATATACTTAGGATGTTAACAAAAAAATCCAAGAATGAGGAGACAAAATGGATTGGCTTAATGGGTTTGCTAGGAATAAAGTGGGATTGGTGTTCTGCTTCTCTAATAAAGCCAAATTTAAGTAATGTATTTGATGATTAACAACATGATTTAATACTAAAGCTTAAAATTATGCTATTTTTTCAAAAAAAAATTATGGCTTTTACCTGCTTAACTGCTTTGTATATGGAAATTTGGTTAGTTTTACAATCATTTGATTTAGATTTATAAAAGTCCACTTTAGCTGGTGCTTCTGTGTTGATTAGGTAGGATTTGTTTTTGTATTTTTTTTTTAATGGTTTAATTCTCATTAATTTAACATTTTCTTAATTCTTAAAGTCAGCTATTTTTTGTCTATTTAATTTGCCATTTTAGGATAGTCAAAACTCAAAACTGTAGTGGAGTTGGGTGGTCTTTCGTGGGATGAGACATAGGTCAACTCTTTGACGTCTTGTTTTGTAAAATAGATGATTCGAACGAGTGGATACCTTTTTTCGTTTAATCGTATTAATAGAGTGTGTTTGTGCTAATGCACGAGGGATTGATAATAAAAAGGCACGAGACTAATATATGGAGCAACTTATTAATATTTGTATGAAATCATAGAATATAAGAATGTACTTGTATATCTTTTATACTACGATATAAGCTATGGGGTAGTACAGCGCCAACAATGTCCACAATTTCGCATATAGTCATATATACTTAAAATGCCTTAATTCTACTTGCTATAATTTTTCTATTCACCCGATTTTTACTTATCTGATCTTATCTGAACTTATTTTAATTTATCGAACTTATTTGAACTTATATGATCTTATTTGAACTTATCTAAACTTATTATCCCTTATTAGACTTTATTTTAGTTATAAATTAGTGATTAACCTTTATCACAACTTATCTGCACTTATTTTTCCTGAACTTATCTTATCTGAATTTATTAACCTTTATCTTATTAATCTTGAAATAAGTGAAAATAAAGTGAACAAAAACTAAGAAAGGTATAGCATGCATCACATTAATGTTATACATAAGAGAATTATATAACTTAAAATTTGTGGATTTGATTGCTTAATTTCAGTTTTTTTTTTTTTTTTTTTTTTTTTTTTTTTTTTTGAAGCCAGTTAATGTGAGTATGAAATATAATGAAAAATGTACTTGATTAAGTGTTTTCTTAATTTATGGTGATTTTTGAAATCGATTTTTTTTTCTGTCTATTTTGTTTAGAACAGTGTTTTACTTTATTGGATTTCTTTTATTAGTTAACAAAATTTGGAAATTTTGAATGTTGATTGATAGTCTGTGACTATAGTGGATTTATGGTATTCAAAAAAAAAAATTATTTTTCATAAGTAGAAAACACACATGCGCATCGAGAAATGCACATGGGTTATTAAATTTGGTGTGAAAAAAAAGGCGGGATTTAATAATGTAAGAGAAATCGTACCGCGGTGCGAACTCCTCAGATAACATGCCGATGTATAGTGACATTATGAGAGAAGAGTATTGGGAGTTTGCTTTATATTAATTTTGGTGCAAAGAGTCACAAGGGCGGATGGCGAGAATTGATCCCATAATCCTCAGGAACCACGAGAGTAGCTCTAACTAACAAAGTTATTACTCACTCTCAATGTTGGGGACTTAGAGTCTATTCTGATTTACGTAGTACTAAACTGCGCTGAATTGATTGGAGCTTAGCTGAATTAAACTAATTGAATCTGAATTGAACTGAGCTGAACTGAATTGTTTATGACATAAAGAAATTAGAAATTGTACTAAATTAAAATGAATTAAACTGAACTAAAATTAAGCTAAAGAGAACAAGTCCTTAAGGATTTATTCCCCTCTCATTGAAACTACTTCTAAATAATAATACTACGTATTAATAGATTGTTTATTTAAACTTCAAATGTTGACATTACTAGTTTTTATCTAACGTAAAGCTAAATAAATTGAATTTCTTTCAAGATAAATGCCAAATTTATTACTATTTAGCAAACACTAATTCAAATTTAGAAAATTATTTTTCAAATTCTATATTAAGAATTTAAATATTTTTATTTCACAAATTCTTATACTTCATCCGTTTTTTTAGTTGACATGTTTCTTTAGTCACGTTTGTCAATGTACTTATTCAATCATTAATATCTTTAATTATCGATAAGCAAAAATCATGAAAAGTTGATAGTTTGAAAGTATATAACGTGACAAATTTATCAAGATTTCATGTGACTATAATTTTAATTACATTATAAAGCATAAAACACAGTTAAAGGGAGGTGTGTGAATAGCGGTATATTCAAAATTGTGTCAACTAAAAACAAACGGAGGTAGTATATGGCTAGCCACTTCACATATAAGTGATATAACTAACTAATTAATTGAGGGTTATGTTCATGATCATATGAGGTTACCATGATGGATAAGGTGTTACCATAATGTGAAAATAGGGTTACTTATATAAACAAGTAGAGTTTATCGTTTAATAATCAAAATAAATGAAAAAAAGGTTCAAGTATTATATTAACAGTTGTAGAAGATATAGGTACAATTATTTTTATAAGATTATATCAGAATATTTTTTATTTTTCACAGATTTTGTCATGACACTTGTTAAAATTAAATATAAAACAATTTTTCTCAGATTGTAAATAACTCAATCTAAGAAATTAGGAAAACAAATTGTCAAAAATAAGTTGATTTAAAGGGTTTCCCCAAAATCCTTCTTTACTCGGACTCAATAAATTTGATCACTCTATATAAATAATATTAGTATCTTCTAGATTTTACAGGATATTAAAAATTTGGGATTGAAATTTCAGTGTTGTAACATTTTGAAAGTTGATAGGGACAAGGTTCAACGAGCACATTTTCTGGCCAATAATAGCCGAACTAGTTTAATTAGCTTTACTTTAGACTTGTAATTTAATTTGTGTTATGATGATGTAAAAATAAAAAAATAAAATAAAATAAAATAAAATAAAAAACTTTAAAAAAAAGTATATTTTTATTAACAGAGAATAAGTTGAGTTTTATAAAATATAATGTATGTAGTTGTCTCTAAGCCTTCAACAGTTCATCCAAAAATAATAATGTTGATAATTAAGGTTTAATGAACACCCTAATGAGCTTATATATGCTCATAATTACAAAAGTCCTACTCGTACACGCTATATACTAGAATTTTTATGATTTATCGAAACTATAAATTAGAATAAATACAATAATTAAAAAAAAACCTCATATAATATATATGTTTAAAAAAAATTACAAAATAAATTTATAAATTCATTTTGCTAAATTGCAAATAGGTATATTGGGTATATAAAAAAAGTTTAAAAAGTTATACAGATAAAAAATAATTAAAAAAAAAAAATTGCAAATAGGTACATGTACACAAAACTTAGTAGGGTGATAATGGATTTAGATATTGTTGTTATAAATTCATTTTGCTAAATTGTAAATAGGTATATTGGGTATATAAAAAAAAATTGCAAAAAGGTATATAGATAAAAAATAATAATAATAAAAATTGCAAATAGGTTACATTGACAAGAAATGAAGAATTGGTAGGGTAATAATGGATATAGATATCGTTGTTGGACTTTTTCACACACGTGCATACAAGCCATGCCGTTTTAATTATTGTAAAAAATCCTTTTTCGGTGTAAGAATTCGTAATTTAATTTTAAACCTCAATTTAAAATTATTGACCAGATTTATTATATGCAAAATATTCTAATAAAATTATAATATACGACTCAATCACAAATATACTAATGATATGAGAGACACATCTGTAAGTCGTCATGGTTTATGAATAGACATGATGTTAATTAAGATTTGTTCGATATCAAATCGTAAACAATAGTCAACCCACTTGTTTTGAATAAAAAAAAAACTATAAAAAATAATTAAGGGAGCCGACAATCACAGCATGACACAACACATGTGTCGAGTTATACATTCTTGACCTTCGTTAATGACATATCGACAAGTAGAATGCAACCTAACGATTTCTTAGCCAACTTATGCACAACCCATTTGAACCTGAAATACAGTGGCATGACACGTGGGTCTACATGGCTTATGTCCAACTTTGTATGTCCCCTCAAACTTATTTCATTATAATCATAAAAATAATTAGATTGAAATGATTAACCTTTTCCATATAGGTGATTGTTAGGGTTGGTGATTGTTAGGGCTGGTGTGCAGGTAGAGATTGATAAACTAAAGATGTAGAGATTGATAAACTAATTAAGAAAAATATAAAAGCAAGATAAATAGTAAAGAAATGGACACACAATATTACAATTAGGGAAAGGCTGGTGTGTATGGTATGGTTTCTTCCATATGTGTCTTTAATGCCCATGACTCATATTTATATATAGTTGTAGATGGAGTTTGAAAGAAATGGTCGAAATATTCCAATAATTTCTACATCATTCTCTAAAAGTAATGACCTTACTTGATTATTTCGGAAGCTTCTAGAATATCCAAAATACTCCACCAAATTAAAATAATGGGTCTAACTTTGGGCCAAACCCAATAATGATATATGACAAAGGTTATGGTTGTAATTAGACTTAAGAATAACCTTTGTGTCTTTACCTATCACAGTAATGTTTATGATTTGATAGAAAATATCCATAGAATATTTTCATCCTAGGTTTAGGATATATTTTGTATAAGATTATCTTTGATATCTGTACATATCTTATAGTTACCTAATATGATTAGGTTTCTCATTGTAACCCTATAAATATTGATCAATGGAAATCACTCTAATCAAGGAGTTTATATTATCTGACATGGTATCACAGCTTAGGTTAGATCTTGGGATTATATACAAAAATTCTCACCCTGCCGGTGGGTTAGAAAATTAAATCCACCGGCGGGATATACAAAGTTTTTTATGCTTCCGCAAACACACATATAGATTTTTTTTTCTTTTCTCAAAGTTTTTTTTTAGAATCTTTATGTAATCTTGCGCCTCCCACCAACAGTAGCAATCGTGAAAGCCTCCTCCATCATTGTTGGCAATCGCATACACTACCGCCTCCCACTACTGGTAGTAACCACATCTGCCAACCTACTCCATGTGCCGCACTCTATTTCCACCTCCCCATGACCAACAATGATTCTTACATTGCCTCATTGGTTTTTTTAACACATAATCACATAGATTTTGTTTGGGTGGTGGTATATCACAATAAGGTCAACTTTTGCACATCTCTTTTGCTATCAAGTTAGCTCCTTTTATTGTTGCAGCACTTGGAATCTTTGTGGAGTATTACTTCTTGCTACCTGGTTTCTCTTCTGAGAATTGATTAATTTCAAGCGGTGGGATTTAATCTTTTCTTGCGCAATTTTATTTATTTTTCTTCAATTGTGATTTCACGTAGTAGTGTAGTGTCTTTTTCCCGATGATGGTTTTATCCCTTAGCTGCTTCTTCTCTGAATCTGCAACTTAGCCCAAGTTTGTGTGCGGCTCTTCTCCTTCTCCTCCGGCCTAGCAGTGTTTATCTCTACTCTATGTAGGTCGTGGTTGTTGCTTCTCTCGTCATCATCGGCACATTTCTACTACTTTCTCTTTTGATCATGGGTTACTATACTATCCTTACCGTTCGATGTGTGATTCAGATCCAGTCTGAGCATCCGATTTTCTCCCGCTCTGACTGCGGGGGTGTGATAGAGAATATCCATAGAATATTCTCATCCTAGGTTCAAGATATATTTTGTATAAGATTATCTTTGATATCTGTACATATCTTATAGTTACCTAATATGATTAGGTTTCTCATTGTAACCCTGATAACTTGCTATTTGATACGATTTTAGGGTGTTTTGAACCTAGTTTACTTGATATAAATTGCGTTTTGGTTCATTTTTACTCTATTATTATGCAATTCTTGTGTATCCTATGCTTCACGGGTTGTTGGTGTTTTTGTTGAGATTCTAGGTTCAAAAGAACGACCAAATGGAGCCCATGGATACAAAGCCGAGGTTAGAAGCAAGAAGATGGATGAAAGAAGCCAAGGAAAGGAGCATTATAGAAGAAAAGATGAAAAAAAGGGGTTTAGAAGACCCTGCACGGCTGTGCCAGACCTTGCACGTCCGTGCAGGAGGTTCCAGAAAGCTTCAGCAAGCTGCCAAGGCCTGCACGGCCGTGCTTAATCTGGCACGTCCGTGCAGAAGAGGGTGCACGACCGTGCCAGACTTTGCACGTCCGTGCAGAAGTGCTCCAGAAACTCAGAACATTCTGCCAAGGCCTGCATGGACGTGCCAAATTAAGCACGTCCGTGCAGATGTAGCTGCACGTCCGTGCCAATATCTGCACGTCCGTGCGGAACTGCTCGATTCTTAGCAGTACGTTCTGCCTCAATTCTGCCCCCTCTGCACGTCCGTGCCAAACTTGGCACGGCCGTGCTTAGCCTTGCACGTCCGTGCCAAATCTGGCACGTCCGTGCAGACCTGCAGTCGAACTCCTTCCTTGTTTTCTCCGTCCTTTTTATTTGGGGGTCATATAAATACCCCTTTAGAGCTCATTTGTACGGGGGAGGCAGTTTTTCAGAGCTTTTCTCTTAGTTTGTAGTCTTAGAACATTAAATTCTCAAATCATTAGTTAGTTCTCAATTATTAGCTTGGAATTATTCAAATTCAATCATTGTAGAAGACAAAATCCACCATTGTTGCTCACCTTGAAGCTTCATAGTAACCATTTCTTACTCATCTTTTCTACTTCTCTTTACTTTGTTGTTAATTATTTGCTAGTTCTTGCATGTTTTGGATTGTTAATTAGCTTAATCCTTAGTTTGAATTTGTTCATGAATTGCTTGAAATCTTTAATTGCTTTAACCCCCATGGATTGTGAGTAGTCTAAATTCTAGGGTTTGGGCAAAACCCTCAATGTAGTCACTAATTACTTGTTGCATGTGCTAATTTGGTTGTTGTGGGATGTTAATTAGTTGAGCTTAAGTGGTTTAATTGCTTAGTTCTTGTATATGGCCATTGCTAGAACTATTTATCCAAGCTTTCTCAACGAAGGATCGAGAGATGAACTTGAGTTAGCTCCCTTATGCTTGATTGACCCGAAATGCCATGAGAATAGGGATTACCGGTCAAGGGAATGTTTATGTCATCGTGATTATGCTTTAACACTTGTTTTATGCTATGTAACCACGAGAGTAGGTCGTATTCATGATTCAAGTAATCCCTCTAGCTTGAGAGAGTAGTTGGGTGCTTTAGATGACTTCCCCTAATTTATCCCATTAATTTACCTTGATTGTTGCATGCTAATTGTGATTTGTGATGAAGTTGAGTGGTATAACCCAAGCCCTAGATTCCTCTTAATATTGTTAACCTCCTCTTAGCTTAGTTGAATTGTGTTAGAAGAAGTTACTAAAAACCAACCCAATTTAGAATTCGTTTAGCTTATTTAAACGGTAGTACTCGGTGGTTGATTCAACGCCTCTCTTGGGTTCGACCCTTTCTTACCCTTACTATTGTTAGTGAGACCAAGATAGGAATTATTATCTTTGGTAGGCTCGACGACGGCCTATCAAGTTTTGGCGTCGTTGCCGGGGAGGCAAAGTCACATTGAATGTATTATTGTTGAATGAGACTAGATGTGTGTATATGTATAGTAGTTTTCTTACCTTAATTTTTGTTTATGTGTGTTTAAATTGCGATAGTCATTGCTAACGTTTTTCTTAGCTTTGTTTGACTTTGCATGACACGAAAGAGTAAGCAATCACCGCTTATTCCCGTTGATCCAGAGCTAAATAGGACTTTGAGAAACGTGAGGAGACTCTTGCAAGGCACACCCGAGTTTTCCATTGTATATTCGGATTTCGATCCGGAAGAGGTTTTTGGAACTAACGAAGAAGATAACATGGGAGAGAATCCTCCTCAACCATTGTTAAGAGACTATGACCACCCCAACGCATTCCAACTTCGGAGTGGCATACGTCTTCCCACCACAAATGCAAACAACTTTGAACTTTCACCTCAACTCATCCGTATGATTCAAAGCGATCAATTCGGAGGTAGTCCTCATGAGTGTCCTTTTGCTCATTTGGACAACTTTCTTGAGTTGTGTACAACTATCAAGCAAAACAACATTTCGGAAGAGTTCATCCGTATGCACATGTTTCAATTCTCCCTCCGTGATAAAGCAAAACATTGGTTGAGAACGGTTGAAGAGGGATCATTGAGTACATGGGACGAAGTCACTTGAGCCTTTCTTGGAAAGTATTGTCCTCCGGAAAAGACCGCCGAACTAAGAAGAAAGATCACCAATTTCAATCAAGACATTGATGAAACATTGAGTGAAGCTTGGGAGCGTTTCAAAGATTACACAAGGAAATGCCCCCACCATGGTTTTACATCATGGATCATTGTACAAAGCTTCTATGACGGTCTTACTCCTATTTCAAGGGCCAACCTTGATTCCGGGGCCGGTGGTAGCCTCAAAAAGCTATCGGTGGACGATGCATACAAGATGATTGAAGAAGTGGCCAAGCATTATGCATATGGAGGTGATAGAAGGCAACCTCAAACAAAGAAGGGCGGAATTCATGATCTTAGTGCAATAGATCTTATTGCATCAAAGTTTGATATGCTAGCTCACAAGCTAGATCAAGCCACCCTCACACCCTCAAGCTCTTCCTCGCAAGTCATGTCTTGTGAGACTTGTGGAGTAAATGATCACTTGTCCTCTTATTGCAACTCAACGAATCAAGAGCAAGCGGCGGCAATTGGGCAAAGGAATGAACAATACTCCCAATCCCACAATCAAAGTTGGAAGCCCCAACATAACACGGGATGGAAGCAATACAACCAAGGCCCCCCACAAAATAACTACAACCAAAATCAAACCCAACCTCAAAACCACTACAACCAACCTCAATCACAAAACCAACAAGCTCCATACCGCCATCCCAACCAAAGGGATCAAAACCACCAAAGATCACAATATAACCAACCCGCTCCTCCTCCTCCACCTCCTCAAAAGACTAGCCTTGAGTCCGTTCTTGAAACTTTCATGACTCAACAAATAAGGAACAATGCGGAGATGAATGCAAACATCCAACAACTCCAAGCACATAATAAGATAATGGAGGGCCAATTGGCTCAAATTGCACAACAAGTTGGGTGCACCTCTAACCCCGGTGGTCAATTTCCAAGCACAACGGTAATGAATCCAAAAGAGCAAGCGAAATCAATCACCTTGATTATGGAAGGGGGGTATGAAACTCCAATTATGAGAGAAAATGTTGCCAAAAAGGGAGATGAGGGAGATAGTTGGGTAGATGAAAGTGAGTTTGAAAATGAAGTGAGTGAGGAGGCGAGAGGAAGGTCAAAAATGAGTGATGAGGGTGCCTCAAAGAGAGATGAGGGAGAAGTGAAGAGTCAAGCTCCATTGAGAGCATATGAGCCTCATATTCCATTCCCTCATAGAATGATAGAGAAGAAGCTAAATGAGAAACTTTCTAAGTTCCTTGATGAAATGGAAGGACTTCAATCAAACATTCCACTTCTCCATGCTTTGTCTCAAATGCCTACATATGCAAAGTTTTTGAAAAATATTCTTTCTAACAAGAGTAGGCTTGAGGAGAGTGATTCTATCTCTCTTCCAACGGAGATAAGTGCTATTCCTCAAAATGAGCTTCCCGAGAAGTTTGGTGACCCCGGTAGTTTTGCTATACCGGTTAAGGTTGGAGATCTTGAATCAACAAATGCTTTGTGTGATCTTGGGGCTAGTGTTAGCCTTATGCCTCTCTCTATGGCAAAAAGATTAAATCTTGGGGAGATTAGCCCCACCAAAATGTCAATCCAACTAGCCGACCGCTCGGTTAAAGTCCCATTGGGAGTCTTGAAGGACATCCCAATTCAAGTGGGGAAGGTTCTTGTGCCTTGTGATTTTGTAATCATGGAGATGGATGAGGATTTCAAAATTCCTATCATATTGGGTAGGCCCTTTTTGAAAACCGCGGGTGTTAATATTGACATGAAACAAGGGCGACTTACCTTACATGTTGGGCATGAAAGAATCTCTTTCTCATTTCCGGAAACGTTGAATAACCCCCATGGATTGTGAGTTAGTCTTCTTTCTCCTTTTTTTTTATGAGCTTTTATTGCTTAACATTGAGGACAATGTTTATGATAACTTGGGGGAGTCATTTGCATGCCTTCTTGACATGTTGGTTTGTTTGGTTGCGTTTGTTTTGGTTGTTTCATTTCCCTAATATCCAAGACCCTTAATCCAATTTAGCTTCCTTGAAATCCAAACCTCTTGTCATGTGAATATTAGTGTTCCCTCTCTAGTTAGTAATGTGAATATTTTCGCTTTCTCTTCAAAAAAAAATGATGAAAAAATTGAAAAATGAAAAAAAAAAAAAAAAAATTTCCCAAGGTTGAGACTCAAATGACAATGCTAATATGTTTTGCTTGCTTGACTCTTGAGTGATGAGTAAAAGTTCTTTTAGAAGGGTGCATGCAAGAGTTGGGGTCATTTAGAGGTCTATTAATCCTGGTTGCATTAGTGTATATGAAATGAAAGTCGATGAATGCTCAATTGCACATCTAGCATAGGATATTGTTAAATTTGCCCAAAGTAGGATATGTTTGAGTCAAATTGCGGTCCCTTGTGCCCTTAATGTGCCTCACTTCCTCCCCGAAATGAAACTCTATTAGGGAATTGGTTATACTTGTATTATGTGTAATAAGTGGCATAATAAGCCACACGTTTCGAATAAAGAAAGAGCCGCTCACAGTTAAAAGAGGCGAGGGCAATAATGTAAAAAAAAATGAGAAAAAAAAAATAATAAAAAAAATAAATAGAAAAGAAGGGAGAACAAAAAAAAAAACTCCCCCAAAAATTCTCAAAATTTTGATTTTCTTTTCTTTAGAGGTCAACTTGTGGATGCCTCCCACACATTGTCGAATTTGTTGCTTATTGTTTCTTGTGAAATTCCCGAGTTAGAGTGTAATTAAGGGGCCTAGGGTGTGCATTTTGGGAGGTGGACTAGCATTTTGAGATTTTATAACCGAAAGAGGGCTCATTACAACTTTGGAATATCTAGGTGTGCTCTAATGAACTAGTAAAAGGCCAAAGGAAGTATCCTAGTGCAACCTTCTTTAGTTTTCCTCTCTACCCCCAACTCATGTGTACATTTGTATGATCGGTAATTCTTGAAAGTCGTTCACTTGTCTTGCTTGTGTCTCATATCCCGATGAGTTGACTTGGGCGAAAAATTGAACTTGTGCGATTTTTGGCGATGTGCTGTGGACTGCGTGAGTTGTGGGGCAAACTCATTGGAAACCCTCACGAGATAAAAACTCGTCCTCTAAGGCGACTTAGAGGTTTAAATTGCTTCTCACTTGTGCTAAAAGTGATGATGGTTGTCACCATGCGGATTTGTTTATGTATGCTTCCCCCTTGTTGCCTCTCCTTGGATTGATGATTAGCAATTTGTTTTCCTCCTTTGGTTTGACATTTTTGTTTTGCTCGAGGACGAGCAAAAGCTTAGCTTGGGGGGATTTGATAACTTGCTATTTGATACGATTTTAGGGTGTTTTGAACCTAGTTTACTTGATATAAATTGCGTTTTGGTTCATTTTTACTCTATTATTATGCAATTCTTGTGTATCCTATGCTTCACGGGTTGTTGGTGTTTTTGTTGAGATTCTAGGTTCAAAAGAACGACCAAATGGAGCCCATGGATACAAAGCCGAGGTTAGAAGCAAGAAGATGGATGAAAGAAGCCAAGGAAAGGAGCATTATAGAAGAAAAGATGAAAAAAAGGGGTTTAGAAGACCCTGCACGGCTGTGCCAGACCTTGCACGTCCGTGCAGGAGGTTCCAGAAAGCTTCAGCAAGCTGCCAAGGCCTGCACGGCCGTGCTTAATCTGGCACGTCCGTGCAGAAGAGGGTGCACGACCGTGCCAGACTTTGCACGTCCGTGCAGAAGTGCTCCAGAAACTCAGAACATTCTGCCAAGGCCTGCATGGACGTGCCAAATTAAGCACGTCCGTGCAGATGTAGCTGCACGTCCGTGCCAATATCTGCACGTCCGTGCGGAACTGCTCGATTCTTAGCAGTACGTTCTGCCTCAATTCTGCCCCCTCTGCACGTCCGTGCCAAACTTGGCACGGCCGTGCTTAGCCTTGCACGTCCGTGCCAAATCTGGCACGTCCGTGCAGACCTGCAGTCGAACTCCTTCCTTGTTTTCTCCGTCCTTTTTATTTGGGGGTCATATAAATACCCCTTTAGAGCTCATTTGTACGGGGGAGGCAGTTTTTCAGAGCTTTTCTCTTAGTTTGTAGTCTTAGAACATTAAATTCTCAAATCATTAGTTAGTTCTCAATTATTAGCTTGGAATTATTCAAATTCAATCATTGTAGAAGACAAAATCCACCATTGTTGCTCACCTTGAAGCTTCATAGTAACCATTTCTTACTCATCTTTTCTACTTCTCTTTACTTTGTTGTTAATTATTTGCTAGTTCTTGCATGTTTTGGATTGTTAATTAGCTTAATCCTTAGTTTGAATTTGTTCATGAATTGCTTGAAATCTTTAATTGCTTTAACCCCCATGGATTGTGAGTAGTCTAAATTCTAGGGTTTGGGCAAAACCCTCAATGTAGTCACTAATTACTTGTTGCATGTGCTAATTTGGTTGTTGTGGGATGTTAATTAGTTGAGCTTAAGTGGTTTAATTGCTTAGTTCTTGTATATGGCCATTGCTAGAACTATTTATCCAAGCTTTCTCAACGAAGGATCGAGAGATGAACTTGAGTTAGCTCCCTTATGCTTGATTGACCCGAAATGCCATGAGAATAGGGATTACCGGTCAAGGGAATGTTTATGTCATCGTGATTATGCTTTAACACTTGTTTTATGCTATGTAACCACGAGAGTAGGTCGTATTCATGATTCAAGTAATCCCTCTAGCTTGAGAGAGTAGTTGGGTGCTTTAGATGACTTCCCCTAATTTATCCCATTAATTTACCTTGATTGTTGCATGCTAATTGTGATTTGTGATGAAGTTGAGTGGTATAACCCAAGCCCTAGATTCCTCTTAATATTGTTAACCTCCTCTTAGCTTAGTTGAATTGTGTTAGAAGAAGTTACTAAAAACCAACCCAATTTAGAATTCGTTTAGCTTATTTAAACGGTAGTACTCGGTGGTTGATTCAACGCCTCTCTTGGGTTCGACCCTTTCTTACCCTTACTATTGTTAGTGAGACCAAGATAGGAATTATTATCTTTGGTAGGCTCGACGACGGCCTATCAAACCCTATAAATATTTATCAATGGAAATCACTCTAATCAAGGAGTTTATATTATCTGACAGTTTATTATAAGAACATTATCTCCTTGTAAAAGTTGAAATAATCTAAATAACAATATTGTTTTGAGAAGAGTATAAAAAGAAGGGACATACCAACGACGAGTAGTCTTTATAAGATGTGCCTGCTAGATAATTAGAGCCTTTTCTGATAATTCTTGTAAAGAAATTTCTTAAGAGTTTCAATCTAAACATAAAAGACTTATATATATAAACTCATCATTATTATTATTATTATTATTATTATTATTATTATTATTATATAATCATCGTTTATTATCACCTGCTAAACGAGTTGTTAGAAACATGGATAACAACAATTAACTTAGAATTTGTATACGAGTTCTACTCTAGAATGTTTCGAATTACACTGTAATTGCACTAGATTTACTAAGCTAGCTATATACCTTGACAACAATTTATCGTACTCTAAACTGAAAATTTATTTTTATTATTAGTAATATGAATGAAAGAAAAAAAAAAACAATTCATTTAAAGATATACAGATCCCATTTGCAATAAAAGCTTACTACTTCGTATTACTATGCATTACAAAGAATTAATTATGCTACCACCTCACAAATAAAGTTAGGGCTCTTAAAAGTGTAATTAATCAACAATAATATTGTAAATGTAGCATTATAACTTAAGATTAGTTAGGAACATATATTTAGATCTAGAGTATAATGTCACTCACCGACTTGAAGAATATAACAATCGTCTAGCTTTTGTGATGAGGTTTGGCTTGAAGGGGTTGTGTTTAATTTAATTGGATGAATTAAAATGATTTCTAAACTCCAATGAAATAATAATAATAAAAATCATCATCATAGATCTAGCATGTATATACAAGGTAAGTAATGTAGCCGAAGACAACTTGCCGGCTCACATATCCATCAAACATTTGTATGTGCTCATATAAGAAATACGATGGAGGGGCCGAGGAAGACTAGCCGGCCGGTGGCATGCCGGCCGGCAAGTCATCCTTGGCTGCATTAACTTTACCTTTGTAAAAACATGCAAGACATTTGATGATACAAGATAGCTACTAGCTAGCTAGCTTATTTAATTTAGCTAGAAGTTTGTGTGACATTCTTCTAAAAATGGAATGTATGTTGCTATATATAAATGGAAAGGATACCTAAGAAGAAGGAGCAAAGAGATATGGGTGAAGAGTTTGTTAGGGCGTGAAAAGAGGGTAATTTGTTGAGTTTCATTAGCAAGGTTATATAATTAGGGTAGAGATAGGGAGCAAGATTTTCATACCTCATATGGTTTGGATTTTGTCTCCTTTTTTTTTAACAAATTTCTAAGGAGGTGAGGGTGATGAGAAGGTAGCATAATGGATAAGGTTGGGTAAAAAAAAAAAAAAAAAAAAAAAAAAAGTGGGAAGTTTAAAATTGTATCTACTCCATGGTAAGGAATGAATCGAATAATTCTAATTTCTGCTAAATGCATGTACATACTATTTTTGCTTTATAATGTTCTTTAATTTATATCTATTGTTTTTATGGGTAAGGAGGAAAAAATAGATAAAGTGAAATAGACTGAGTAAATATTAAGAGTTCGTTCTTTAATTTATATATATTGTTCTTATAACGAATTTAATTGCAAAAATGAAAGAATGTGAAAGTATTGGGAACATTGTAAAAATATCAAAAACATAAAGCGTTTAGAATAAGGTCCTGTTCTGTTCACTTTATTTCCACTTATTTCAGGGTAGATAAATTCAGATAAGGGTTAATAAGTTCAAATAAGTTCAGATAAGATAAGTTTATGAAAAATAAGTTCAGATAATTCAAATAAGATATGAAAAATAAATTCAGAGAAGTTGTGATAAGGGTTAACCAGGATTACCCAAGTTTAATTTATAACTAAAATAATTTCTAATAAAAGTTAATAAGTTTAGATTAGTTTTGCATCAAAAAAATAAGTTTAGATTAGTTCAGATAAAATTAGATAAATTCAGATTAGTTCAGATAAGTAAAAATCAGGTGAATAGAACACACCATAATATGGAACGTAATATGTTTCTTCATATTCCCTAATTTAATTATTTTCCACCAAAAAAAAACTTAAGATTAGAGTTAAAATTATAGCTGGGGCTTGCCCCTCGTTTCCACCAAAAAAAAAAGTTAAAATTATAGAATTAGTTAGTTTTAAGATCATGAGGTTAGACCAATTAAGTGTGAGTACAAAAACAACAAATGCAATTAGTTGGTCGTAAAATGTAACAAAAGTTTAGATGAAGATAACAAACAATAAGTTGGTCAAATGACTACCCGTGGAAAATTCAGCTATTGATGGAGGACGTCAAAGTTGAAACTAGTTATTAAGATTAGTTCGGTATCATTTTTTATTTTAGATATTTTTTATTAAAACAAAAAACCAAAAAAAAAGGTAGAAATCCTAATTTCAAAACAAAAAAAAAATTGTTATTTATCCACTAAACATCAAAGTGAAATTATTTAATTTATTTACAAAATATATACTAGTAAGTTATTAGGAGATATCATAATTATATATCTCTAGCTTTCACCATCCAAAACATAATAGCTCTTTAGTTGTTTGCAAAAATTATCCATTGTTTGCTAAAATTATCCAATGCAATACATTTTCACTCTATCTCAAAATCTAAAATAATGCTAATTATTAACCGAAAAAAGAAATTGTGAAACTAATACTCCTACAAGGGTATATTTCTTATTGTTTCTTATTTTCAAAAACCAAATGGAGGAAACCACACACTAAAAAAAACGATTTGGACGCTAATATCAATCAAAGTTCTATTCTCACATTATTAAAATTATTTAATACGGAGTATCAAATTTGCCTTTAAACAAATTTAAGTAAAAAAAAACTCAATATTGTTGATTAATATAAGGCTGGCCTCATTTAGACCCAAATACACAAAAATTAATTTAAGCAACTCTAGGTGGTTGTGATTTGTGCCAATACGAAGCAACAAGCAAGTTATGAATCACCTAAAATTCAGCAACAAACCAACAATATCGTCTAAATTCCTTGTTAATTGGACCTTAGGAGAAGGCAAAGGGTAATGGTGATGTCGCTTCCTGCATCTCATTAAGCTGCTGTCAGCTGCTCGTTGTATCTTCTAGCTAACAAACAGCCTAATCTCATTGATAGAGGTGACCATTTTCTATAAGTTTATCTTATATCTTCTACTATATTTTCTTTTATAATATTATAAGAATATTAAAATTGCATCTGAAATCGGAAATTGAATTCTAACCATTTGAGCTATCCCTTGTTTAGGATATTAAGTATATGTGTGTAGTTATTTTTACTCTATTGGTGCATTGTGCATGGTTTTATTGTATTGAAGTCATTTGATTTATGCCTAATAATACTTACATTTTTATTTATGCAGCTTATTGAACTATTATAATGTTAAAAATGATGTGATACAAATTAAAATTAAGGAATTACATGGACTTATAACATAAAAATTTATGCAAGCTGGTATGAAAAAATCCACAAATGAGTGTGAAGAAGGAACACTAAGGACTTGAACCTGTCCTAATCCAATATTTGATGGAAAAATAGAAAATCATCTTTATATTTTTTTGAGGACAATAAAAAGTTCACCTCAAAGTTGGGATTATTCCAGATTAACGAAAGTTGAGATTATTTACAGAAAAACAACTAAATTTGAAAATATTTAAAAATATAGTGCTCTATGAATGACTCAATAACACAAGACTCACTAATAATAATTAATCGGAATACTATAAGTTATGTCAGGAAAAAAACTACTACCTCCGTTACATATTATTTGCAACGATTAGACATTTTTCCTCTCTACTTTATGTCAAATCGTTGTAACTAATATGTAACGGAGGTAGTATTTAAAAACCATTGTTTAATTGTTTGTACATTTCAACTCTTATTTCTCAATAGAAATTCTAAAGAATCTTACTTAATTAATTAACCTACCTTGAACTTGAACCGCCTTATGTATATCAAGAACCCATACACTGGATATTGAATTATAGCTTGTGATCTGTATATATATTCTTTGATAGAAAATTCACATATGATACCCTGACAGCCCTAAAATGGAATATATCTCAATGAGATTGAAAGGAATTTTTCTAGATGCATAATTTTTTATTTTATTTTCATTCAAGCGGTTAATTCGGAAATTTATAATAATTACAATAATACGACTTTTGCATCTATTTATATATATACCATTTTTCTTTTTTAACGAGATACTTAGAGTCTTTACTAACATACACAAAGTTAAAAAAAAAATAAAAAAAAAGTATTACTATATAGTCTCCAAGAATATTTTAATTCAAAAATCCTATGAAGTTGTTTATTTATTAAATCTATTTATTTTGAAATTTGGTTCATGAATCATGTCTTGTAGCTCGTATTCATTGGATAATGTTTGTCATTTAGGGGAGTCGGTGAAGTAGAAAACAATAGTTTGAACAAACCCATGTAATAATCTCCATTCTTCTATATGTTATTGGTAATTGGCCATTGGGCCATGCTAGCACAGTCTAGCATTAAAAACAAATACCATGGCTCTAGTATGTAATAAGCACAACTGCACGAGGCACAACCTAGGATAATACTACAAGTGTTAAGCTATGGATCTAACATAATATGACACGACACAACACAACACGTTATGATAAATAAAACAAAATAAAATATTAAGTTAGGCATACCAGTACGGCACAACACAACACTGCACATAGACTCTAAGTTATGCCGCACTTTTAAAAATTTCAATATGACACCTAGCTACTGGGCTCGATTGTGAATTGGGTCAGGCTTAACTAGACTCTCAAGGCACTGCCCGACAATGCCGACATAGCCCACATGGGGCTACATCTACATTTACTAGTAATTGGGATGAGTTGATACTCACTAGAATCTGACAAAATAAACATGCAATTTTGTGTATCCTCAATATCCTTGTTATCTTTTTCATGCCTAGCACCAACTCAATGGAGCTATTTCTGGCATTAGTGGCTTTACGCCTATACGGGCACACTCCCGTGTGCGAGTGTGCAGATCTACATACGCACTCGCACAGCACAATGCCTAGTTCATGTCCTGTGCACCCAAAATAGAGCCCAAAAGGGAGTGAAACAATGAGGATGTAACTCTTGTAAGTGATAGAGAGAAGCCAAATGACGGGACTAATGTACATCATAACAGAAAGAGAATGTGAAGGGAAGGAAAGGTTAGAACATTATTAGAAAAGGAGGAAAACGAAAGAAAACCATATAAGAAATTTGAGTCAAAGATAAGAGAAATGTTAATACTAGTTTCAGCAAAACTAACTAATTAATTCTCGCAGATACGAGAACTGCATTAGCTAGAAAACCTTCTTAAGATTCAAACTTCAGCATGTCTTGCAATTACAGTAACAGTTGATCAAGTAAGAGTACACATCACACAATATCCCTCTATTAGGTGTTTCAGCTAAAGCTGTGTATCTTTTATAGTAGAATGATCTGCACTTATAGGAAAACAGTTTCCCTTTTCTCTTTTTTCCAACAATGGAGGTGTTTTTATCATTTTGTACACGATTAACTGTAGACGAAGCTTATTCGTGGCTCTGAACCTCAGGAGCAACCTTTTCGATGTTGTCATCATCTCCAGTGCCATCATGATCTGCACCTGACAATTTGGGATTATCTGTTAAAAGGGCATAAAATATGACATATAAATTGATGTCTCTAGTATCTCCAAACCTGAGGTTATCAGGTAGATAAATGAGTCATATACCTTCACTGTCAGCAGGAGCATAAGCTGAGCGCCTAGAACGAGTTTGCTGATATGTTGGCTAAGAAATCAAAAACATTAGTATTCAGTCTTTTCAATCAAGGTAAGATAGATGAAAAACAATTAGTCTTCTAAATGAAATTACTTTAAGCACTAAAACCATTTGACGGACAAGTTAGTGTTGCTGCCTCGACTCATCATCCCATACCATTCAAGAGACAAAATATAGGCAATGCTCCAGAAATCATAAGCTATGTCTAAATCTCCAGAAAAGTAGACCAAAAAGAACAGAAGAATCCTCCTGCACTATTTCTGGAGAACCTCATATGCTAAGGGGTGTTGGGTTGGGCGCAGATTATCTCATGAGTACACAACAAATTTCTAGCAAAAACTGCCTCAAGTTATTGAAGCATCCCTTTATTAATCAAAAAGCCACAATCTACAAATCTTGGAGAAACATGACATTGCTTCTCAATAAAAATAAAAATAAAATACTGGAAGGTTTTGTTTCAGGGTTAAAGCATTCATCAAAAATACCTGCAACTTTGGTCGGAGTGCCTCTAGTGGTCCTTTGGGTTTCTGGCCTTTTTGCTGCTTGCATGACAACAATAACATAGACACAGATCAGTAAGATTAAACAATCAACCCCCAGATGAAAATTACAAATGTTAATTGATGGGAACTATTGGTAGTGTGCAAAACTGCAAAGGATTCAATTCAAATACCTTTCCCAATGCCCAATCAGCAGAATCGAAAAATGCATGTTCATGGTCCTGCAAAAGGAAGCAATGGTTGTGAAATCATCTACAGCATTCAGAACAGAAACAGAACAACATTTATTACTTGAATTGCACAAAGAAACAAATCTTGCCTTTGAAATCAGTGGCTTCTTCTTTGGCAAAATCCCTCCATACTTTTTCTTGATAGTTTCCTCCTATAGAATAACGGCACCCAATCACAAAGGATCGTAGAGGTATTGATTAGACAAATAAAGAGAGACGATCCTCACACAATTCACAAAGAAAACAATTTAACTAGTCAATATCTATATCAATTCATTAGAGCAATTCATGAATATGGAGCATTAATACCTGTTGTTGAGGAGATGGCATCGGATGTTCCTCAATCTTCTTGACATCTCCAGTGTCCTCCTTTGGAGATTCTTGATGAACATTCTCTTGTAGCTCAGCCTCGACAACACCTTTGTCTTGGACAATTTCTTCATCAGTTCCTGACATTTTTTTTGGCCTGACCAAAGAATAAATAAATTGGATCATTCGAAACATCAATAACAAAGATCGCTAACATGGCAGATAATCAGATTCAGAGAGGACTCATTCAGTCTTTAAATCCAGGGGACAGGCCTTACATCTTAATCTTTCGAAAACTAACACCTATCTAGAATCGGTACTGAGGAGGAATGATTCTAATTAATCGTATTCTAGTTTACATTCATCCCACATAGATCTCCATTTCTTGCTTCAGCGAAGATAATGACCATCTTACAAGGAAAGGATATCCAAAAATTTACGAGTAATATGTTAATTAAACTACTAGCACATTGAAAGTCCTCCCTCCATCCACTAACAACAATACTTGTCTCCAACTACTTTTTCTTGTAACTTTCTACCAATAAGCAAAAGTTATAGCTTATTAGTTGCACCTAGTCTATCATACCTTATTTTAATGAACTCGAGCTCTAGTACTCGTGTTGGACATAGATACTAGCACTTAAGTTCCTATACATATTTCAAGCGTGTTGATGATCCGGCACAAGTACTTGAAGTGAAATGAAGAATCCGAGAATAGAGTTGACCCAAGTTGTGCTAAAAAATACATCCTAGATTCACATTTTCCTATACATGAACAACTTCTTGCACCTTATTTAGGATGATTTTTTCATAATCAAGGACATGATTTGACCTCAAATAGTAATTTGACCCCGACATTTTACTGCCCTTAAAGAATACTACTAGTAGATTTTTTTAATTATAATGCAAATTTATCAGGTTCCCATTTAATCATAACAAGTAAAGATTGTTCAGATTTCCTATATTTTTCTGGGAATCAATTAAAGTATAAGGGAATCTTTTAAAAAAAAAATAGAATTTCCAATCACACAAAAAATTATCGACAATCCATGCTTAATGATTTAATCAATTACCCAATATCAGTAATCAAATCAGGCAAAAATCAACCAAAATATAAATCAAACAAAAAGTAGAAAATGAAAATATAGATACCCCAAATGCGATTCGTTGAATGAAACAGTATAAAAACTCAGCTTAAGAACTACGCAACTCAAGAGAAAATCACCCAAAAAAAATACAGAAATTTGAGGGGGTGAAATAATTAAAAGTATGAAATAAACAGAGAATTGAAATCAAAGAAAAGGGTGAACGGTAATTACCTGATTGATTGATAAATTGATTGAATTTGAATGGGGAGAGAGTGGCAGAGCAAATGGCAAGAGATGTAAGGAAAACTGAAAAATGAGGAAATGGTGTTAGTTATATTCACTGTGCAGAAGAATGGTGGGAGGGCCCTACTATTTGTCTGTCCTTTGATGGTTGGATTTGGCCTATATTGTTTTTCCCTGTTGGGCTCTCTGTGTTTTGGTCTTCTTTTGTTTAAGTGCGATCTGATTTGTCAAAAATTGACCCGACTTAAAATTCGCAAACTAAGCTAACTGAACCAGTCGCATATGAACATATAGCACTTTTGGAATCAAAAACCTTATATGGCTTTAATTTGGACCATCTCTATTAGGAATAACCTAACTTTTTTCGTGTATTTGATAGAACATTTCCTAAGCAAAATACATTTACTCTATATATCTTACGTTGGATTCGAGATGGTGTTGTTGATTTTGAGAAATAAATGTAAGATTGAATCTATAAATACCTATTATAATTAGCAAATTGGCATAAATAGATTGTACTTCATATGTTTTAATGATATATGATTATACTCTAAAAATGATTCAAATTGGATACGAATCGACTCAAATACCATACTTTATCATTCTAGATTATCATGCAAGGGTAAGTTAGCATATATATTCCCATGAACCCTATCAAAAAATGAGTCAACTCATTCTTTTAAAGTAAACAATCTTTTGGGACTTTAAACAAAATGTTTCTACAAAAGATCATTAAGAAAAATTATAGTAGGTCAAATTGGGTTAGATATGGATCGACCTATTGGATCAAAGGCAAAAAAAAGTCTTGATATTTCATTTAAATAATCTTCAAGTGTATTCTCCTTTCCTAAATTAAAACCAATAATATACAAATTTTGTGAGCATTTTCTCTCTCTAAAAGTGCAACTTTATCCCTTCACCGCCAAACTTATTCTTATCCCACCCACCCACCAAACCCACCGTTCATAGCTCGCCGGCAACATGGCTTCCCTGCCCATTTCCTCTACCGTCGCCGGTGAGCTACCATCCCCCACACCTTGGTTTTGCCGTGCTCTACGCTAGGCAGCCAGGTGCTCGTATAGGTTTGTTGTTCTCGGGGGAGTCCTACGGTGGTGGACTGGTGGTCTTCTTTTGGTGAGTTGGACAGTGGTTGGTTTTGCTTCAATTCCTTAGTGTGTTTTGTTTCTTTCTCAGTGTACAAGTTAATAAGGTATACATACTTTGTGTTGTTGTTTGGTTGTTTAAGTTGGGTTTCTTTGACCTTGAGGAGCCTTATTGTGGTTGGGCCTTGTGAATTTGGTGTATGTTGGTTTCATTAGGTGTGGAGTGTGTTTGCAGTGTAAACGCCTAGTATCTAGATGGATTTTGGATTGGTTAAATCAAAGTTATTGTCCTTTCACTTAAATGATAAGGATAGCCATGATTCGATTGCTAATGTTCTTATGGGAATTGGAAGTCCTCATGGACTGTCAATCTCTAAAAGAAACGGGTAATAATTATTTCCGTCAACAAGACTTTGAAAATGCTTATTTGCAATATCATATGGCTGTTAAAGTCCTCTATTTTGTTGTGCCCCTTTCTAGTGACGGGAATTCCTTGTACTTGGACCTTGCCTTTTCCTTAAATTTGAATATGGCTGCCTGTGCTCTTCGAAGTAACCACTTCTCTCAAGCTTCACAACTTTGTTCTCTATTGCTTGAGTTTGATGGCAATAATATTAAAGGTTTATTTCGGCGAGCTGTTGCTGCATCAAAGTTGGGATGTTTATCTCAGGCCTATGATGACTTGTCACTTGCTTCTCGGTTAGATCCTTCTAATCGAGAAATTTCGCCAGAACTGGATCATGTTAGAATTTTGGTTCTGTCGAAAATTTCAGGGGATTGTGGTAGAGGTACTGAAAATTGTGGTATGAGTTCACTCCCGAGCCTAGAGCCTAAGTGTGAAGTTAAGGTTGTTTCTGCCGTGTGCAAACCCAATCTGCTACACTCGGGGGCTAAGGTGAAAAGGAGTTTGGATGTTGGTGATGTTGCTTCCTCTAAGAAGAATAAGAAAAATTCTTCTTGTGCTTCTTTGGACGGCTCTCTTTCGGTTCCCATAGAGATTGACCCAGGGCATGGCGCAATCGACTCAAAATGTGGGGTGTTTAGGTGAATCCCCAGCTTGTCCGTCTACTGGATCCTTTCCGTTGGCGTCACATAATAATGATTTAGATGAATCGGTTATGGATGAGAGGCGTCATCACGAGTTTGTTAACTCTCGGAATCGTAAGTCTTGTATGATGATTCCGACGGAAACTTTGGGGAATATTGCTTTGGACAGAGAGCTTTAGTTTTATAATTCTGCTTGTTTTTCTTTTATTTCTATCCGAGTTGTTCGGGTATCAAAACCTATCTTGGTGGAGGCCCTCCAAAGTCACGAATCTTGGGAAGCAGAGGCCCCCTTTCAATGCAAGGAATCTCCTTCCTTGAGTCATCAAGATGTTTCCCCACATACCTTGATGACAAATGATCCAACTCCTATACAACAAGATCCTCCCCTCCTAGATGATCCCATAGCTTCAGAGTTTTCCTATCCGTCGGTCTTTAGTCACCCAGTTGGCTTGCCTCATTTGATTTTTAATCCCGCTTGGGATGGTCGGTTTTCAGTGTGGTCCCTATCATCGAATCATTCAGCTTCTTTACGTCGTTATCCATCTCTAGGCTTACGGAAATCAAGTAGCAGAATGCGTGTTTCTAACCGTTTCTTATTTTGCAGGATTAAGGTAGGTTGCAAACGTAAGCGAGATTCGTCAGCTACAGACGACTTTTACAGTGTCCTGCGAAAGAAGATGTTTTATGATGTAGCTTTCTGTTTACTTGGTTTTCCTGTCACTTAGTTTGCTGTTTTAGTTGTTTTTTGGTTGTAAGAATATTTTTCGTTATATGGATCTTTTGTCAAAAAAAAAAATCTTCAAGTGGGAATTCGTGAAAAAGGTAAAAGTAAAAATATAATTAAAAAAAAAAAACTCTAATCATTTTTTTCTCATTTTTAGGAAAATCAATCAACTTTCTTTATGTGTATTATCAACAATGAAATACTCAGCTCGTCTTTTTTCATCTCCTCTCCTCTCCTCCTCTCTTCTAGGGTTTCTCCAAAATCTTGGTCGTTTAGGCCGGAAATAGTCTAATTTCTTCGGAAATTAGACTATTTTCGACCCTTTTCCTTTAATTTTATTTAGTTTTGCAATTTGAATTTCAATAAATCTACACAAGTAGTGTAGATATTCGCCCGTCTCCCTATGGTGGAGTGTCTCCCTATGGTGGAGTCGTTAGTTTTCGTTAGTTTAGTTGTTTGTTTTTGTTTAGGGTTTGTTTGTGTATTAGGGTTCATCAAAAAAGTAATCATCTTTTGCCCTATTATCAGTTCTTTGGTAAAGATTTGTTCGGGATCGCAACGGTTGTCAAATTTTCAAATGCGTTTAGGCGAATTAGATGAGAATCGTCCTTACGGCTACAGCAAATCGTTAGACCGTCTCTCCGAAAAGGTTGTATATTCCAGCGATGTGTGCGAGAGATGTACCACAGTGCAAGATCTTTTCAACGATCGTAGCTATGATGAAGGAAAACCTAATTTGATTCAATTTTATATATTTGTTAATTTAGATTTCATTTGTAGATGTCGGATGCCTTTTTATTAATGAATTGATTTATTTCAAAAAAAAAAATCAACTTTCTTTATTATACATTTATACCTTTATAATTTTTTTTTATATTAAATCCACAATATATTGTAGTTGGCAATTGGCATGACCAAAGGTGTCAATTCAGGTATGGTGAGACCGGGTCATATTAGGTTTATTTCAAAGTTAAATTATGCTAAATTATTGTGTCCATATGATCCAAAATATAAATTGAGTTTTTTGTTCAAGTTGGATTGAATCTAGTCAGATTTATTGAGTTTTTTTTGTTCAAGTTGGATCGAATCGAGTCAGATTTTGACAAATTTACACAACTACACATGACTATGCTAATTAGCTAATATGTCAAGTCAAAACGTATCACTTAGAAACAAAACGGGAAATGTATTTTTAACCGACAAATAACATCATATCTATTGTTTTTTTTCTTTCTTTTTTTTGGAAATAATATCATACTACGAGTAATAAAAAATAAATAAAAAAGGTTAATATCGGGCATGTTCACGTTTACTTATTTCAGTTCAGTTCAATTCAGTTCAGCTCCTAATTTCTCTATCTCATAAAATATTCATTTCATCTCAGTTCATTCAGTTCAGCTCCAATCAATTCAGTTCAATAAATGTGAAAAGACCCATCATATCCAATAAACAATGGTTAAAATTAGAGAGTTAATTTTCTTTTGGGAATAAAAATACAGTTAATTTTTTAATAAGAAACTAGTGTGTAGCCCGGGTGTTGCACCGGTTGCTACTCTTGTGATTATCAATTATATACATTTATTTTCATGTTTATAAATGGTTGGGTGTCTGAATCCCCTTATCATCATTTTTTTATATGAAACAATATTCTAGTTGATTGAGTAGTGATGATGTGGAATAATGAGAAATGGAGTAGGTGACGTGACGTGGTCTACGTGGCACAGAGACGTTCTTAGTATCGCCTTTTAATAGATTAGTATAGATATGTTGTGTTAACATGTGCCCACGTTAGAAAAACTGATAAAAATATACTTGTAAAGTTTTTGCTTAATAATAAACTTGAAATTACTGGTTTACCCCTGAATATCTGCTTAAATCAGTACCAGTATAGTTGATCGTCTCCTTAGAATAGCAACACCAAGCAACAAAATCAAGAAATGATCCACTCCAATTTACTACACACCTCAAATTTTCCCACCCCTTTTCAATTTTCCACAAAAAATACAAATTCCCAGTTCAAATCATCAGCTAATTATACTAAAATTAACAAAGATCGTAATTTAATTCATACAAGAACAGAACAAAATCCCCCAAAACCCATATTTTTGCAGTCATTAGGATTGTGCAAATGTGGAAGAAGACATTTTATGGAGACAATTGCAAGCACTGTTCTTCATACTTCACTCCCCTCTCTTGCTTTAGAGTTAGAGCCCAACTCATCTTCCATGGTATATTTCATTTATCTCTTCCATTCTTCTTAATTTATGAATGTACTCTATTAGTTGGGTTTGATTATCGCGTTACTAGTTCAAATTAAACTATCAGCGTGACAATTAATTTTGGACGGAAGGAGTATAATTTTAACATTTGTGTATTATTTTAGAATTTATGTATGAGTGGAGCATGGAAGTTGTTCAAATTACACTTTGAAAAGCTTTTCTTGAATAGGTAAAAGTTTGTATTTTTTTGTAGAGCAAATTTATTTAATTAATTATCATGGTGAAGATGAATGCATTTGGCATATAGTTAGATATACTCCAATGTATAAGAATCTTTGATCATGAGCCACAATAATCGAGAGTAGTACTAGGATGAGTGACCTCCTGGCTCCTGGAAAGCCCTCATGTCGGATCATGTAGTTGACCCCACTTATGGGATTAAGGCGTTCATGAGCCACAATAATTGAGAGTAGTACTAGGATGAGTGACCTTCTGGAAAGCCCTCATGTCGAATCATGTAGCTGACCCCACTTATGAGATTAAGGCGTTCAATCCGAAGAAGATCATGAGCAACTTATATATAAAAATAAAAAATAAAAAAGATTTTGTAAAAAAATCCACAAATAGGTAGGGTTGAATACTCACATTACTCACATACATCAGTACATAGCTGGCTTCAGCACAGGAAAGGGCCGTAACAAAACTATGATGCTTGTTAGAGGACCAACTCAACCAAAAGCTTAAACTAATGGTTGAGGCGTAGGAATATGTTTTATACTCTATCAATGCTAGTTGTTGTGAGGTTGTAATGGTCATAACTATATTAGTTAACAGAAATGAACAAGATGATCCAGGTATTCCAGTCATTATATTTAATCCTGATCATCTTAAAGCACAGGACATGCTAAACAGAATCCACCCTCCGAGGTCAGATTGGTACGAGGAATTCTATGCATCAGTTATGAACTATGGCATGAAAGAATATGAAGCTGAGGTCAGTTATTATCTGATACAGCTCCTTCCATGTTTGTTGCTCTTATTCTTTCGGATTGATGTATCAGGTTGCCTAATTACTGTCACTTGCTTCTTGCATTTGTGTGCGCTTTGTTAATTGGTAAGGTTGCAGGTTACAAGTCTCAGCTCTTTGATAAGTTGAAGGGACAAACCAAAGAAATTTTGGAGATAGGTGTTGGGACAGGACCTAATTTCAAATACTATGCCCGTGATGCACGTATGGTTTTTGGGATTGATCCGAACAGAAAGATGGAGAAGTATACCAGGAGAGCAGCTGATGCTGCAGGTCTTTCTCCTGATAGATTTAAATTCGTGCAAGCGGTTAGTTTCTTTACTTGTCAGAGCTACTTTCACATCCATTTGTTCAGTGACTAATTTCTACTCTTAGGATCCTAAAATATAAGCTGAGATCCTGCATGAATGATTTAGTTTTGCTTCGTTGTTTGTGCTATGTACCACGATTAGTGTTTGTGCAGGTAGGGGAGGCTTTACCACTGGATGATGCTTCTGTTGACACTGTCATTGGAACACTTGTATTGTGTTCTGTCAAAGATGTTCCTAGGACTCTTCAAGGTAGCAGTCTTTTATCTTCTGTCTGGTCTCTGCATTCGTGTATCTAATGAGAAGAATAATTTAGCTATAAAAAATGGACCCTATGGAACTGAAAGCATATGAATTAAGTATTGATTATCAATGAACAAATTGCTAAACATATTCTATAATCGAGTTCCTAGATGGTTGATTTTTAATTATCCATGATAATTGAGACATTTGGCATACCCAAAGAAAATTCATGCCTTTGGCATCACTTGAAACTATCTAGCAGTGACTTATTTTATAAACATGATGGTCAACAAGTTATATAAGCATAAAAATCTTGGCAAAAAGAAATTTAGTATACTACAACACAAGTGATATAGAAGGGATGATAAGAATTCAATGGAATATTGAGGATTGCATGCTTAAAGTCCTGTAAGGGGATGCCTTAGTGACGATTACAGAAGTAATTATGAGATGAAAACTCGGGGCAATTGAAGTTCCAAACCACAGAACTTACACCAAGAACCGGTCACCTAAATTTGTCTTTCACATATCCTGCAGAGATAAAGAGGGTGCTTAAACCAGGAGGGCTATACTTGTTTGTGGAGCATGTGGCTGCAAAGGGTACGATGTACTGAACCAAATATTTCCGGTCTATTCAGTCAGCTAGGACTTGATACAGCATGTTTGTGTTTGATTCATCAAAAGCTCACATACGCATTTCTGTTTCTTTTTTTAAAAAAAAAAATTACAATAGATGGAACGTCATTGAGGCTTCTGCAGAAAATTTTCAACCCGCTGCAGCAGCTGCTAGCTGATGGATGTCATCTGACAAGAGAAACGGAGAAGCACATTTCCGAAGCAGGCTTTTCTAGTGTCAATAGCAGCACGAGTTTCATCTCTAGTGCGTTGTTTATAAACCCTCATCTCTATGGAATTGCTCACAAATGACTCGGTGAAGAGCCTCTCAAGTCATATTGTCGAATTTTAAGGTGGCCAAAGTGGCTTGGCTGGATTTCTTAATCAATCATATTTGGTGCAGAGTTTTCAGTTTTAGTAATTAAGTCCAATACCTAGTCCTTTTATATGATGATGAATGTGCTAATTTGTGGCTTGGTTTCATTTTGTTGGTCAAAAAGTATATGATGTTTAGTACAAGTACATCTTTTGTCATACAAGACAATGACAGAGAATGTTGCTAAAATAATTATTCCTAGTTGGTATCAATATGTGCAATTGAATGAAGTACCATTTCTTGAAATTAATAATGGCGTCAATGAATGGGAAATGTTTCGAATTTTGATATACCTTCAACTACACAACATGATGACATTGAAGTTACAAACTTACAACATTAGGAATACGGAGTATCAATTGTTAATAAGTGAATTGCTAAGTAATTTCATAGAGATATTAAACTAACAAATTACTTTTTTTATGGTAAAGATCCAATTGTATAATAACTAAAAATTAGTTTAGAATCCGTGCATGCACGGATTATTAAAAAAAAAAATTAAAACTTAGTTCAAAGACTATCATAATAAAATTAGGTTTTTTTTTTTTTTTTTTTTTTTTTTTTTTTTTTTTTTTTTAAGTTAGGGATAGCTCAAGTGGTGAGAAAGTTAGAACTTTCCTCCTGGTTTCAAGATATCTTGGGATTAATTTGCCCCGCCTTTGTGGCTCTCAAAACAAAAAAAAAACAAAAAAAAAAAAAAAAAAAAAACCTTAAATGAAATCAATCCACAAAATAACTATGTCTTGTATGTTAGAATTTATATTACTAACATACATTGTATAAAATTTTATTTTTTAAATTGTTACAATCAATTTGCTTTTCACAAAGTTTTTATTCGTGGTTGTCTGGTTGGGCACACCGCATGGCTGGAGTTACTTAGTTGATACAACCAAGGGTTAATTACTTGGTTAAGGAATACTCAATCAGTAAGGGGTTATTTGGTCAATCAAGGATTGATCGATAAGGGGTTACTCAGTCGAGGTTATACTCAATCTGTCAAGACTTACCCATTTAGTGTTTTGGTGTGTGTCAGCTGGCAACACTAGTGGCTAGCCACACAGAAAATGCACGGTTTTCTTTTCCGCTGAATAGAAATTTTGGCGGAGAATTTTTTATTTTATTTTTTGGAAACATGGAAAACAAATTTCCCATAGGTGGGAAGTTACTTTTTATAGTACAAATATCATTTTATGACACATTTTCCTCCTCTTCTCTATTTTCCCACCTCTATTCTTCCTCTTGTACTTCCATTTTTCTTTTTCTCTATTAGACTATTATTAGTTTATATAAAATAAAGTCTATAACATATATAAAAGCCCCAAGCACCCTTACTATTCCCCATTTTAATGTTCCTTATGAACAGGGAAATGACCCGCTTGCCCTCAGCCCCTTTTTCTGATTGACCAAATTGCCAGGGTTGTTTTGGTCATTTCCTTTTGGCATTCTAGCTTTTTCTTGGCCCCTACCTTTTGCTTTACTGCCCACGCTCAGTTGCCCCCATTTCTCTCTCTTACCTGCTTTTGCTTCTCCTCAGTCCTCATCCTCACATCTCCTGCTTTGATTTTGCTTTATTTCATTTTTTATCTTCAACCAATCCAACTGATCAGTTTTGTTTGCTCACAGCCTTCTCGATACTTCTCTTATGGGTACGATCTTCTTCTTCAATTTTTGTTTTCAATTTTTTCTAATTTTATTTGCTTGTGAAATGATGAAATGGGATTTTTGTTTTGTATTCTGGTATGAAATAGGGGTTTTGTTTTGTATTTTTCTGATTATATTTGCTGGTGAATCGATGAAATAGGTTAATTGAGTTGTTCGATTTTTTATTTTTGCTATCTATTTTTATGATTAAATTGGTAGTTGAATGATCAGAGAACTTAAATTGTTATTAGTAATCAATTTTCAGTTTGGTTTTTGTGGCCATTTCTCAGGTTTGGGTCCAACAATGGCTGGGATGCTGAGTTTTGTAAATTTTTGTTGTTCTGATTTTTCTGGTCAATGGATGCCCTAGCTGTTACACCTCGCATTCCTCTCTCTCCTCATCACCACCGTCGGATTTCCTCCCGCTCATTTCCAGCGTTCATCTCCGACGCTCCAATCAACCTCTTCGTCTTCGCCGCTCTCTCACCTGCTCCGCTATTTCTTCTCCTTCGCTTGGTACTTTCGTATTCAATTGATTGATTTTTTTTTATTTGTGAATATTTATTGAATTTGTTGTGTGTGGTTAATTGATTGTTTGATTAAACAACACGGTGAAGAATTCGGCGGAATTCATTGAAGCTGCGAAATAATTCTGTTATATCAATGTATTTTTTTTCCAATCTCTGTTAGTTTAGTAAGAATATGCAAGTTTGACATTGACTTTTGGTGATACCCCTTTAGCACTTGCTCACCAGTTACTATACTTATCAGAGTAAAGAAAATTAGAAATTAAACACAGAAGAATATGTAGTTCGTTGTTGTTGCAAGTCTGCAACTAAAAGATATAGCTTTCAAAGTACGGCACAGACAACAACGAAGTAAGATTACTCTAAAATGGTGGTAGATGAATTGACTTGGGGGGAGGGGGGATAATGCAGATGATGGGGAAATTGAAGGATAAGTGGTGGAAGCTAACCTGAACTATTGTAAGAAAGCAAGATGATGATCATGGAGCTAGAATTTGAGTTTAGTTGAACTACTAATAAATAAATCAAGAAATATTTTGTAACTCAATTTATTGCACGCTTCAGAGGATCAGTAGATGATGGTTATTGGATTATTAAGTATTGATGATCTCTTTCTGTTATATTGGTTTAATAAAAATTTGAATTTTATCCACAAAAGTAGGGGAAGAGAAATTCTTGCTTAAATTCTACTTTAAATTTGTCTCTGAAGTGATATGTTTCAAGCTTCTACCCCCCCTTTCTTCAAACAGGCTCTAAGTTTTTTCTCCTGCCTAATTTAAATATTTTGGTCTTGTCTCTTGATACCAACGGGTTGGAACTGCTGTTGTTACCAGAAGTGATGATGGGAAAATGGCACTTGGAAGACTATGTGCACTTTGTGAGCAGGTGAAGGAACTGCTATCTTTTTTCAAATTTTACCCTGGTTGAGTATCCATAAGTTCTTTCACCTTTCTTGTATCTGGTGGAGCTTACTCAATCTTAATCATTTGTTATTGCGTAGAAAGGGGGATATCTCAAGATATTTAGTGAATCAGAAATCACTTGATCATTCTCAACCATTTAGTGGATTGAATTTTTTAACTAATGAAGTGGGTGCTTATTTTGTTGTAAGGGGACCATTTGTCTTCAATGGAGATGTTTAGTATGTTTTCATTACATATTATTCTAAGATTATAATTTATTAGTTATCTTATTTACGAGGAAAAGAAAACGGAATCAAATTAATGTGCAATTTGATTATTTTGCAGAATTGGGTTTCGAAGGAAGTCCGTCAATGGTGATTGTAAATTTTACTATGCTTCTAGGCAATTCCCCTTATTTCTCCTCCTCCGATCGTGCTGATTGCAACTCTCGGGTAATTTCTTTCTCTCTATTTTTCTAAATTTCAAGTTTTCTAAGCGGTTGCTATTTTTTCCCCCAAATTTTAACCACGGAGCATGTTTGAGTGAGCTTGGTAATTGATTTCACAAGCGTGATTATGTTAGAATCTATCACATAAGGGTAATTGATTTCCCCCAAATGTTAAGGGGAATGACTCAATTACTATCATGGGTGTATTTTGCATGAGATTTGCAGTTTTTAATTTAATTTTTGCAAAGAAATGTTTTTTAATATTAAAGTGGGGTTTTCTGTTAAATTGTATGGATTGGTTTTTCTAATTTAGTTTTCGAAGAAAATTGTTGGTTTGATTGTTATTTGGTAGCTGTTAATCCGGTTTTGCGCTATTTGGGTGATTTTTGAAATGGAGCATTATGAAGGTTAAAATGAAAGGGTAAATTTAGGCCATACCAAATGTTATTCGAATTGTGTACCATTACTTTATGTTTGATTTGTTGAAGTTTGAATATTTCTTTGTGTTGCTAAGATCATTGCTTAAGAATTTTTTTAAATAATTAGTGAGTTGGCTGATTTATTATTATTATAATATAAATTTTATTATTTTGAAATTCATTATAAATAATAGTGTAGGGTTAATTACATGTTAGTTTGACTCTCATGAAAGTGAATAAATAACTAAATATTGCCAAATTTAGAAATTACAGAATCAAACCCTGGCACCTTGCTATTCTATGCATAAAATTCCAGTCTTACCTTGATTTTTTCAGGACATCTCAATTAACCATGCATTATGAAATTGGTTGATAATGTTATAAAATAAATTGACAGTATCCTTATTCTATAAAGCTAAGAATTTCACTAAGTAGAAGTCTTGGACATTTGGTTGAAAGATTTAGTAAGGAGCAAAAAACAGAAAAGAAAGAAGGTGAAACCATGTCATGATGTGGGATAACATTAGAAAGCCTTCAGGGTGAGATTTTAATTTTAAAATTTTATTATTTTCAAATTAACTTTATAAATTATTTTATAAAAGCTCGGAAAATATAATTTATGGACCAGTTCCCTCAAAAACTCTAACCTGAGGGCTTTAATGTAATTAACGAGCTCTTGCTAAGTATTCTGCAGCAGGATTCTCTATGAGTAGTGGTTTTGGTTGATATTATATGTGTTTGTGATCATCTTGCTTTACTACAAACAAGTGGATGACAATTTGTGTATTTGATCATTTTCTACTGTAAATATTAGTTTGAGTATCATGATTGAAGTTTGTAGACAAATTAGAAGGGAGGCAAGCTATTACGTGTTGCCTTTGTGTCCTTAGATGAACTTAACTTTCAGGGTGCATGTAACTGGTCTTGTGTGATATGAAGATTCACAGTTTATTTGCTGCTTCTAACCCTGATAATTTTGCCATCAGGGAGGTTGTGTCAGTCTGCTCAGCATGAACCTACCTGCAGCAAGCTACGCAGCCAAGAACTTCTTCCAAAGGTTTAATTGCCACAGAGTTGAAAAAGAGAACAGCAACAGGATGGATATGAAATCACATCCTGGAAAATTAAATCCTGATAGTGACAAGTGCAGGTGAAGATCTCTAATATAAGTGCTCCCCTAATTTGTCATTTGCAACTTAATAAATTTATTTTTGATGCAAGTATAACAAGTGGCAGCAGAAGTGTAGGGTATGAGAGTCCTTCGTGAGATCGGCTTGTGTATCTGACAACCTGTGTAATCGAACATCATGTAAAGTCCAGGTTAAAATGGATAGGTGTAATATGGAATTTTCCATGCTGCAAGTGCCGATAAAGATTTTGGTAAGTTTCATAGATGTGAATCATTAGTATTTCATGCCTTTCTACTGTCATACAACACTGCAAAATTGACTGTTGTGGGAACATTGCCTCATGACATTTCCTTTTGGTTCATTCTCAGGGGCTGTCTTGAAAATGGCTCGATTGGTAAAGGATGTCTCTCTTAAGGCACAAAAGGTTACCTCTGATTCAGTTGTCAAGGCTCCATAAAAAAACTCTTATAATACCAGCTAATTTGTGCAAATTGTGGCTAAGGTCTTTGTCCGCACTCTTCATTTTATAGGTTTCTATGTACAGGAAATGTATGATTGAATCAGGTATAAATTATTGTTTATTTAATTGAATAAGGGATTTACCATGATTGGCCAGCAATATTGGTGTTATGCGGCCTGTGGTGGTGGGTATACTCTAATAAGACATGGCCTTTGCTTGAAGGGATTTTCCCTTTCTTAAATCAGGTGCAAGATTAGGTGGGGGATTTGGAAGGATGAATTTGGCTTCGTGTTAGCTGACATTTTGAAGCAATATGAAATATTTTTCGATGATTTATTACTCTACGCACTAATTTTTTAGGTTAATTCCAGTGTGGGTACATGTGGTTTCAAACAATATATGTGAATTTCAAGCTGCTACTTTCTGTGTTTATGCTTTTCTGATTTTGTAGGATTTTTGCTACTTTGTATTTTGATTACAGATAATTAATGTTCATGGGGCATTAAAATAAATAATCTGTTCTGAAATGGGATTTTCCTTTCTAAAATTAGGTGGGGTATTGGAAGGATGAATTTGGCTTCATGTTAGCTGACATTTTGAAGCAAAATAAAGTAAATAATTCAGGCATGAGATTTGAGCCTGCGGTAAGGACAGCGGATTTCGATAGGTTTATAGCTGAGTATGAGAGTGATCGTACTTCTTATTGTTGGTCTACTATGATTAATTTCAGGGCAAATGAGGAGATCGAGAAGGAGGCTCTTTACCGAGTTCAAGCTCAAAAAAATTCTGAAAAGTCGAAAGAGTTCAAGCTCTTCACTCTTTTGTGGGGTGTGCTGCAGAACAACGTCATTGATGCTTTGTGTTAAATCTTGTATTTTATAACTTAAGTAGCAATTACATTTGAGTGAACATGTGCAATTTTTCATGATTTCCCCTCCTTTTTCCCTTCTGCATTGTCATGAGAAATTCCTTAACATAGTTAGTAATTGAAATTGAAGTAGCATTCATTATTATTAAAGGATTGTAGAGTTAATATTTTTCCCTCCAATCGCCTTGATCGCACCATCCATTTTGTTAATCCCCCAATCACCTTAATCGCACTACCCAGTGTGCCAATCTTCCACTCAATTTTCCAATCGCCTTGATTGCACCATCTTTGTCAATCCTCCAATCACCTTGATCGCACCACCCAATTTTACATAATGATAAATTAATACTTTACTACAATTTTTGTCCATGTCAAAAATATTTGGTAGTGCTTGAATTACTTTACAGTTTGTTTACAATTTAAAATTTGAAGAATTAAATCTAATTCTTCTAAATTATTAATTTAATTTACTTATTCCATTTCCAGAGGTCAATTTCTATTCATATAAATAATGGTTTCAGGATCACACTTTATTTTATTCTAATAATGGATAATTTGACATTATATTATAAGCCACTCCAATTTTACTTCAAGCATTAGTTATGTGCAATTTAGGTAATGAGGATCAAGCCTGATGATTACAGAAAGAAAGGAATACTCGAGGATGTTCACCAAAAAAAACAAGACTATATTCAAGAAAATGTTAGGGGAAAACTGTAATGATTTGATTAGTTGATAATAAAGCTATTACAATACTAAAACTATATTAATAGCCATTTCTTACAATCTTTTTGTTATAAGAAAATGCTAAATATCTTGACAACCATTCCCCTTAACAGCATGCTCATATGCCTACTGCGTGCCAACCGATGCTACCCACTTTAGCCTCTATGTCTGCATCATTATGTATAATAACATAACTAAAGTGAGCATTAGCAAAATTAAATTTCATTAACACATAAACTATAACTAACTACACACTAATCATGGAGACGAAATCACATTGGGGGACCGCGCGCGTAGCGCACGGGCCAACAACTAGTCTTATTAAATTTGTTTAATGTGTATATGATAATCCCACATGAAATCAATCACATAAAATAAAAAAAAATGAATATTTGAAATCTAACATTAAAGTAAAAAAATTAATAAATAGTTTTGCCTTATTTAAAATTTTCTGTTTTTTTAGGAAACCATCAACCATAATTGCATAATTCAAGGGAATAATTTCTTTACTTAGAGTTATGTCATCAATTCACAATCAATGTTTTCAAAAAAAAAAAAAAGTCAATTCACAATCAATTGATTTAATCAATCGAAATTTAATATGTATAAAATAGGAAATAAAAACTAAGTTAAAAGTTGAATACATTCAGTATGGATATATTTTTTTTAAACGCCCAAAATAGTATATGAGTCTAACAAATTGAAACAGAAAAAGTAATATGTAATTTTCTCCTTATTTTAAAATAAGTAATCCTCCAAAGTAAGGCTAAAAAATGAAAATGAAAATGAAAAAGACAAAGCAAAAGGCTAGAAAAAGCTAATCACACGATAAAAGTATAAGACAATGGAGAGAGAAAGAAAAGAAAAGAAAAGAGAGCAACTTCTCCACTTCTCATCAAGTACTACAGTACAACACTACTATTTATGTCTCTCTAAAAATCAATTTGGTACTTTTTCCCTCTTTCCGACAAATTAGGGTTTATGTTCTGCGAAGAATGTGCTAAATCAAATTATTTGGATTTTATTCTTCTTACTATTTCTTCAATTCCTTCCATCATTCTCTCTTTAGTCAACTGTGTTATTTCCCAGGTAAATCCTACTTTTTTTTTTCTTCTCCATTTTAAGAAATTATTTACTGATGATTAACTCTCTTTTTTCCCCAATTTATTTCAGTTTTTTTTTTTTTTTTTTTTTTTTTTTTTTTTTTTTTTTTTTTTTTTTAAATTTTGGTGATAAAATATGATGTTTCTTTTGTTAGCTTTAGTGGGTGTTGCTTTTTTTTTTTTTTTTTTTTTGAAAAAAAATTTGCATAAGCTGTTGGAATCTTGTGAAAAAGTTAGAATTGTTGTGGTTTAGCTTTTGATTGGATTATTGAGTATATTTTTGAAGTTTTAATGAGAAAGTGGAGTTGAAAGTATGATGAAATTTCTTGTTTGTTGTTTTTTTTTGTTGTTAGATTCTTTGTTATTGTACTGTTACTAGAAGGAAAATTTGAGGATTAGTTGCTTAGTTCATGCAGTATGTATTTTCTGGGTTTCATGAACACATGATTAAATGATTAATGCCATCATTCCAGGTTTAAAATTGATGAAATTCTGACCTATATGAAGCAAAGACAGAAATTTTAACCAAATTCGGATTTTTAATTTTGTAGAGCTGCATAGAATTTAAAATGAATTTTGTGAGAGTGAAAGTTTTTCGTGAAAAAATTCTTGATTCCTTCCCTTGTGGGGGGATGAGTGTAAGTTTCTTTATGGACAGTTTAGAATAGAAATAATGCATTGCTTGAGGGTAGGAGTGAACTTTCATGTCAGAGATTGATTATTTGAGATTAGTTTGCTATTGTTGACTTTGTAGTACTTTCGATTTTCTACAAGCAAATTGTGGCAAAAACTATGTTGTTTAGACTTGTTGGCATCTGTGTGTGGAGCTGAGGGTTGGTCAGGGAAGATTCTAAATTGGGGGAGTTCAATAACTTTTTTATCCTAAGTAAAGTGTGTAGAGCACATAGATCCACTTAGGTTTTGGAAGATGTGGAATGAAGTTATTAGGACACTAGAAAAAGAAGGGGAAGTCACCGGCTTGTTTTTTGTATTAAACTAACAGTGATTAGGACTATTCCTTAAAGTACAATTCCGCTGCATTTAAGGGAGTTGGCATCGCAAAATGATGGTTGATGCCAAAATCTCAAATTTGAAGGTGAAGGTTGGGGCCGTCTGAAGTGCTTCACATGTCTGTTTGCATGGCCTCTATTCTACCTTTACAAGAATAAGTAAACAACCAAACTGAAATTTGAATACTAAAATATTATTTAGCTTGTTCTAGCTATCACACAATGTACAATTTAATATTCATTTTTAAGAAAATCAAATGAAGCTAAACCTATATTAAGCTGACCATGCCTTGGACAATTTGGAATGAATTATTTGATTTTGGATATATGTATGTAAATACGTAATGCATCCAAAATTCTGTTACAGCTGTACAGTATGGTAGAGATAGTACCAATACTAAATATGATTTAAATTGTAAATATGATGAATTTATGTAAACAATCAAGTGAGCAGAAATGTAAAACAAATAAAAGAAGAAACAGGAGAAAAGTAGAAAACTAGGGCTCTAATTGGTTTACCTTAACATTTTAGGATCAGAGGCTTGAGTCAGTTTTGGTTGCAATATTCCATGTGATGCTTTAAATGGTAATAGATAACAGGCATTTCAGGAAATATTTGGGGTGGTAATGAAGATTATAACCTATGAGGGAGGACTAGGGTCGATTCGATTTGTTTAGACATGGGCATACAGATTACAGGAATTGAATTTGGCAAGCAAATAGTTAAGGCTAGAATTACTTTGGAAGCACACAAAGTGTAGAGCACCTTGTGCTAGTTGTCTTGTGCTACATGGTGCTGCTACTACATTCCCAGTAGTGGAACAAAAATGCATGGAAAAGTGGTGCTAGTCATTAAGAACAGACACTGCTGCATGTGCCTATTAGATTGTTTTGCTTGCATGTTTAGTCCCTGTACAGCTCTCTTAGACTGCTTTGCTTCATTTTTTAGCTTTGACATGCATTGAGCTACCTGCTTGGTAGCCATGAACCTTGATTTTGGGTACCACTAGATGTGCATGAACATACCTGTATCTTTTCTGCCCGTCATAGCCTTCCCCTTAACATGCTAGTGGAACTTTACTAGCAAGAATTGCTATTCAACCATCAGAGTTGCCTTAATTGGGCTGTGGGTTAGATGTGGTTGGTGCTTGGCATGTTGCGCATTGTCCATGACCACAACCTTGACTAATGGTGAATAGCCGAAATGTATCGTTTGCCTGCCATTGGCACATCTTCGGGATGTTGCTAGGACATAAAGGGTTTCATAGGCTAGTATCTAATTGTAGGCAAAGGCTAGCCAAGGTTAAACTTAGCTATCTTCATTTCTTGTTATGAACTCCATTGTATGATCCACAGGGCTTAATTTACAGTTTACAATTATCTGTGTATATTTTGAATAGCTGGAACCATTGCAGAACAAAGGACTAATTTTTTAATGTTCTCGGAAGTTTTTTTCTGACCTTGGACCATATAGCTTCTCACATCAGTTTGGTGACCTTTGAGCATTAATCTTTATGTGCTGTTATTGGGCATATCAAGACAAGGGGATTATTCTAGGTGTCTTCTAGCTCCTGGGTAACCTTCGAATTTGATCTAGGATTTATTGATTTTAGATTAAGTGACCACTATACATAATTGGCCTGTTGAGGATCTCGGGTATTCATGGTTAAGTAATTGGACCTGTTCCGCTTTTTTGTCCGAGCCTCACAGCCACTCTCACTAGTTGATTTCAAATTGATTATCTTTATTCAGCATATGAATAACTTCTTTGGCTGTTGATTGTGGCTGAGCTCTCTTTGTTTTGTGTACTACCCAGGTCTGATATCAAGGCATAAAGTTGGTACCATGCTATAACATTTTGAAGAAGATGCTAAAGATGGAACTATGTCTTTAATATTCCTTGGTGTAGATATCCATGCATATATTTTTATTTTTCTATCATAAAGTGGTACCAACAAACTACCATCTCTCTTTATCCAATTTGTGTAAAATTCTCGATATATATGTTCTCTTTGGAGAATACCTTAGAAATGTTTCAATATAGAACAGTGATAAAATGGTTGTCTTGTGTACATTGATCTTCTTGTATGTTGTGACCGTGTAAAGAGTGTAGTAATTTCAAGGCTAGTATTTGGTAGCTTGTTACAGTTTAAAGGCAAGGGGGATTATTCTTGTGGGTCTCACAAAACATAGCTAAGACGGGGTCTCTTTGTTGTGTGGCCGCTAGGCCACATGGGTCAAATGCTGCAAGCCGGGAGTGGCCTATGGGGCCTCATGAACCATATTGGCGAACTAATACAAGCTTCTCACCACCACCATCTAGATGGGACTATGGCTTCCAGCCTGAAGGGATACAGTATGGCTCTAGTGACAGCATTCAGTTGTTTGGATCTACATCGTCAAACAGTAAAGAAAGCAGGAGCTGGATAAGAGGTGGTTATCATCCAACTCACCAATATTCTGCATCTGAGGGTGGTGCCCTGTATTTTAGCAGTCCGTCTGATGCTTCATTAATCCAGCCATGGACACCCCCACCAGTGCGAGGAGTGAGTATTGATGAATTTGAAACTGCTACCAGGAGAGGTGTGTATTGCTTTCCTCTAGGGAACTAAAGTTGCTTTCCCGCCCTTATTTTTTTTTTCCTTTAGCAATGGATATTTTATTTCCTGTGTGATTTTCATTTTTTCTGCCAATAAGGGTCATATCAAAATAACCTTTAAGTATCTTTGCAACTGTTTTAGTGATTTTAGGTGAAATCAAGGAGCTAACTAGTAAGGTAAACAATTTACATGCTTGCAGTTGCAGTCTATGAAGTGGTTATTAGAGTAATGTTTTGTGTCAATTTTGTTGGTATGCATCGTGAGGATGTGAAATCCCAAATTCTTAACTTATTAACAGCCAAACTGCCGATAGAGTTGGATGCCCGAATAGGCTACACATTAGTTTTCTTCCCAAGTGCTAATGGCATGTGGAGTGTAATGTTATGCTTTGCTTACGTTTTCTTTTCCTTCCTGGAGAACTGTATCATCTTGTAGCCTTTGCATGGATTTGATTTTTTCTGAGTTGCTTTAAATTGTTCACCTGCATTTATTTTCAATTATGCTCCTTTGATGATTATAATTGATGCTGCAGATACAATATCTGGGCCGTTAAGCTTCACCCCTACACTGGAGGTACTATATAATTTGGTGTTTGCTTCATATCTTAAATATTCTATGGTTTTATTAGTTAACCTATTCTCTCTTTGAAGGGTTCTTCCGTGGTTCGAGATGGTGGGGGATTCACTTCACCTCGTTCAGATGGTAGTGAGTTCGAGCACATAGGAAAGCATAGCCTTTCAACCCCGCGGAACTTCCCCAGTCATCGTTCTTTCATTTCCAAACCTGTACATCCTCTATCCTTCCCAGTTCATTCATTTACAAGAGAAGTGTCTGCGAGCCCTGCTGCTGGACTTCCTGCATATGATGCTACCACTCCCCAGAGCGATTCTCATCGGTTGAGCAGTGGCAGCAGCAGTATTGATTTGACTGATATTTCTGAGCGACTTGAATCTGAGTTTCTTGCTCGAACCTCTAATGCAAATGAGGGCTTTAAATGTGGATTATGTGATAGATTACTTTCTCAGAGATCACCTTGGAGCTCTAGACGGATTGTTAAAACTGAAGATATGCCTGTTGCCGGGGTTCTTTTTTGCCGGCATGTTTTCCACGCAGAATGCTTGGATCAGACAACTCCAAAGTCCCATAAAAATGACCCTCCTTGTCCTATTTGTTCCAAACTCGAAAGAGAATATTCTCCCGAGCAGCATACTTTGCCAAGGCTGCGCAATAATTTCCCAAGACTAAGAACTTTCAGTGAAGAGGGATCATCAAGAACTTGGGGCTGCGTTCAAGCTAGTGATAGTGTTGAGGGAGCCCTGCATACTCCTCAGAAAAGCAGTATGTTTGTCCTGAGCCGACAGAAAATAAAAAACAGTTTCTCTCACAAGGGTAACACTGGCAAAGATTTTCCTAGCAAGCTGAAGAAAACAAGCTCTCACCCGCTGCATCTTTTTGGTGGAAGATTTTCTGATTATGGTGCAGGTGGGTGCTCAAAGACTGCAGCTGGTCCTAGCATTAAGAAAGGATGAAGCATGCTATCAAGTTAAAAATGTCCTAAATATCCGTAGCAATTGTTTTTTTATAGCCTGGTGACTGGCTGACTGCTATGATAATTTTGAATGGTAGGAGAAAGGAAGCGCGGGTCATTTCCGATGTATGGTTTTGTTATAACATTATAAATCTTAGGTGTAAATCTGTAGTTTCTTTTAACTGAATTTTTCATCTTTTGGTTTTACATTTGCTAATACATTATTTGCTGATGGTTGTCAAACATCCATATTGCAGTTAGATTCTTATATGATGGTCTCAAGTTTCTTGTTTATATATTGAAGATGTGTAAAAACTCTGGTATGATTTGAGTTTTTTCATTTTTACTGGCTTGAAAATTCCAGTGTATGGTTCTGTTATATCCCTCTTGCCCTTTCCTCTCCCATTTCCGTGCATTGTAGGAGTCCTAAACTACTTTACAATTAATACTAGATTAACACTTTGATATTGGAGTCTTGACAATCCAGTTTACCACCATTACATATCATAGTCGCATGTCCTACAACAATGGATAAGGTTACGAAATATACCTACCATTACGGAGTACATCTAAACCAAAACTACAACTTACAAGTGGTCAAGAACATCAAACCGGATATGAAAACCTATACAGAGTAATAAAACATTGATATTGATATTGACAAATGACGTTATACAGAGTAATTTTTTAGCGAAAACATACCGTGCCCCACAAATCATGTGCAATGTCATGAGTTGCAAAGGCATCCCTAGACACTAATTGAGTGAAGCAACAAGGCCAAGTTGGTGTACTGGTAGTGGCCGCGACGTTGGCCTTAGGCAATAAATATGGTCGTCCTTGGCTTAAGGTCCAACTAAATAGATTTCTTGACAAGGTTTGCACCCTTCTCTCACGACCCAATTTTAAGTAGCTTAGTTAGCCCCTTTCATTTTCCCACACCATGTGCCATTAAACTCAACCAGATAAACTTGTACAAGTAACAACATCAAGATTTCAACTAGAAATTTTATTATACAAGAAATTAAAATAAATAAATAAATGGAATGGAATTTGATAGTGACACATCTATTTATAAAATCTATACTCCTACAAATATTAATTTAAGGTTTGCTTACTAGTCTAAAGAGCATCCACAATGGTTGTGCATAAGGACCTGTTAGCAATTTCTAAATAATTGCTAGCTACATGCTAGCCATTGTGGAGCTACAATCTCTTGTAGCTAAGCCAAGCTACGGGCCTGTTCTCATTGACTGAACTCAGCTGAACTGAACTGAACTGAAATGAATATTTTATAAGAGAAGGAAATTAGGAGCTAAACTGATTGAACTGAACTGAGCTGAACTGAACTGAACTGAACTGAATTTCAATGTATGAGAACAGGCCCTACATACCTCTATAGAGCTATGTAGTTTCACTCACCAATGTTGTTATATTTATTTGTTTAATATATTTTACGTATTTGTTTGTTTGTTTATCTATTTATTATTTTATTTTTTTATGGTTTATTTATTACAAAAGAATGTAGCTTATCAATTTAACATTGTAGAGGTTGTAACTTAAATCATATAGATTGGAGATTTAAGATGTGGCAATCCAAAGCTACATGTACATGAAGCTAGCCATTGTGAAAGCTTAATCAACTTATTCTTATTAGAAGTGAAAAGAGTGTAAATATTTGTTGGTACCAAAGGCTTTTAGGTATATGTGCCTTGGTACTTTATAGACATCTTTATAGGTGTGTTATGGTTTCAAACCACCTTATATGACCTCGTGAGTCACCACACGTATTCAGTTAATTTTTTTAAAAAAGTCAAAACTAGCCTGAAATCGTGTAATATAGCCTTCAATTTTGGACAAATTTTCAATTTTTTAGACCCGAAAACAAAACTGTCGAGATGCTTCCCATGGACCCTAATACACCCCGGGAGTCCATTTGGTTGGGTAAAGCCATCCAATATGCCTTTAAACTATCAATTTACCCGTTTACAACTTGCACCGATTTTATAAACTCGAGGCTACCACGAACATATATGGAACCATATAATGATCATATATGGTTCCAAACGACATTATATGACTCTGAGATGTATCCCCTAGTATCTCGAGACATTTCGACATCGGGTCCCGAAACCTCTGAAATTGGCCAAAAAACGTTTATTATAGCCTTCAATTTTGCCAATTTTTACTTTTTCTGACCCGTAAACAAAAAGTGCCGAGAAGCTACCTATAGACCCTAATACCCTCTGGGAGTCCAATTGGGTGGATGGAACCATCCAATTTGCCTTTAAGCATCCTGTTTACTAGTTTCCGTACACGACTCTTGTATTGGTTATAGGCTTCCACCGGGCCTTTATGTAACCGACTTATGGTCGTATATAGGTTCAAACAACATCATATGACCTTGGGATGCATCTCGCACAATTTCGTGAATTTCTGACACCGGGTCCCGATACCTACTAAATTGCTTCGATTTCGTGTACTAGCCTTCAAATTTGGCTTTCGTACATCATTTTTTTCACCCAACAAGATTATGCATCCAAGTACTTCCATGGGTTCCCAAAGGGCCTTGGGAGTCATGGACAATGCCTAGAACCATCTCATTAATCCTAAATCACCATGTTTTAAGGCAACAACAACATACCCTTAAACAACAAAACTAGTTGTTTGTATGCCTTGTCCTTGGGTGCACATATCTTGTGCACATGCCACACGACCCCTTTCACCATCCCACGCCCCGAACACTTTGGCTTTGTTAGTTGTCTCAATCCACTACTTAGCATTTTTAGCATATAAGAAGCAACACTAACCTCGTTTTCCAAAATATGGGCGTTTTTATTAGGGAATAAGGAGGGAGGGGGGGGGGGGGAGGGATGAATCGCATGATTAGTTAACTTAATGGTTCTTTATAATGATTGTAAAGAAAAAAAATTGGATTTTTTTTTGTCCGATCCTAAATGGTAATCTATTACTCCCTTTGTTTAATCCCGTACAACAATTTTGGTCTATACTAAGGGTATGTTCTCATTGTCTGAACTCAGCTGAAATGAATTGAACAAAACTTATTAGAGCTGAGTTGAACTGAACTGAACTTATTGGAGCTGAAATGAACTGAAATGAATATTTTACAAGAGAAGGAAATTAGGAGTTGAACTGAACTGAACTTATTAAAGCTGAACTGAACTACACTGAACTGTAAATAATCGTTTGAGAATAGACCCTAAGTTAGAATGTTAGGGAGTAGATAAACAAGCTATGGAGCACTGTAGTTCATATTCTTCAGATTATATTTTATATATTAAACGAGTTGTGTACAAAAATAATCTTGTTTGATTTGGTACCAGTACCACACGTCCACACCACAACATGCAAAGTGAATTATTCTTGAAAAAAGCGACGTTTTTAAAATATATACTTTATATAACACACACAAAGTATAATCCTAGTCGGTGATTTACCTATTCTTACTTGCAAAATTACGTGAAAAAATTTTCATCTCCAAAATTAGAGATACATAAAACCTTTTTTTTTTTTTTTTTGGAAGTAAATTAAAACAATTTTTTTTTTCAACAATTTAATTTTGAATAAAGTTATGGAGTGTTTAAATTAAACAAATTAGAAATCAACTTATAAAGTTGTAAATTAAGAGTACAAAATATTCACATGTCATCTATGAAACAGCAAGGAACATTGTTTCTTCATTCTCATTCTTCTGTTATTAAGCACTCCTTCGGTTTTTTTTTTCCAAGTTGTTTTTTTCAGAGTTTTCAATGCAATACTGTATATATAATATCTCAAGCTATGTATTACTCCATAACAACTTCAAAAATAAATAAATAAATAAATAAAGCTATGTATTATAAAATTATATAACTTGTATATTTAATTAGAAACTAAACATTGTGATGAATCAAATAATATCTCACATTACCACGTTATGAAATCACTACAACAAATAAGATTAAAGAGGGCAATTTAAATCGCCCTCTCAGGTTACAATTTCGCCCTATTAGGCAAAGATGGCGATTTTAAAATCGCCCCTAAGTTGCCCTTTTAGCTTCGTCCTATTAGCTTCAAAGGGCAACAATAATCTTTCGCCCTCTTTGTTAAAGATCAAAGAAGGCAAAAAATTTCGCCCTCTTTGATCAAAATCAAGGAGGACAAAGCTTTTCGCCTTCTTTGATCAAAATCTAAGAGGACAAAAATTTTAGCCCTCTTTGATCAAAATCTAAGAGGACAAAAATTTTCGCCCTCTTTGATTAAAATCTAAGGGCAAAATTAAAGTCGCCCTCTTTGTTCATTTTTTAGTTTTTAAAAAAAAGAATTCTAGGAGGGTACATTTAGGAAAAAAAAAAAGGTCTTAATAGGCATATAAACAAAAGTATTAACCAAGTTTTTATAAATAGCAAATAGCTAAGCCAAAGAGTACTAAAATTTAATAATGTTTTTTCTAGGACATGAACTATCAAGCAATCTTCTCATTCTTGCAGCTTCTAGCATCCCCTTTTTTTCCATCTGTAATGCAACCCGCCTTTTGGTGTCCATCTCCAAAACATCAGCACATTGACTTGATCCCCTGACTGCAAACTTGACAGATTCAGGTAAGAAACAGTTTCGAGTCCTGCAGGTTTTAATGTGACTGTTAATCCTCTTCAAGAAGAAAGGGAAAGTTACAATTCGCAAAAGTCAAGTTCAAGAATAAGATACTAAAATGGAATGTTTGATGGACTGATGGACTACTGCCAAAATAACAGCATGTAGAAAAGCATCAGTCTGAGCACCATGTCTTATACCTACTGAATTATATAAGAACCTGTCCAAGATTCCTCTAACATAATAAGCTAACATAACCATGGCATGAAAATGCATCCACATGACAATTTTATATAAAGAGTAAGCTAGAAAATATTACCTCTATTAAGCATTAAGGCCAATCTTCTCCACGACTAACCGAAGCTTTAGTTCTAGGTCATCTTGTTTCTTCTTAGAAACTTCCAATTCAGCTCGCATCATTTTAGAAAATCACATGCATACATATTACCAGGAAGATAAAAAAACAACATAAGGATTTCCATTAGAAAAGATAAACGTAGCTGTATATGAAAATATAAAATGAAGATAAAAGGAATAAAAGATATAAAGAACTCATCCCTCAAAAAAAAAAAAAAAAAAAAAAGATATAAAGAACTCTCTTCAGGCTACGAGAAACAAGAAGGTTATAAATTCAGTGCACAACTAGGATGAATAATTAAGGACAATCAGGAGATTAATTCAACTAGGAGTTTGTGTTGCAATCAATATTTGATCAAACTGGGAAAAATTAAAGCAGTTATCTGTGACTAGCCTATAGCAACAATGGCCATGTCTATGAAGCATATATGAAATTCTATTAGCATAAGGTGAAGCAACCATATTGGCTCACCAATATTCGGCAATAGGAAAAGCCCAAAAACTCAGCTCTAGCACCTATTCATAAATAAAGCAATCATAACATATTTACCTTTTCTTTTTTTAAGTTGTTGAGACTCTTGAGAGGTAGACCCTTCAGGCTCATTCATTGTTCTTTTCCCTACAAAAATAGAAGATAGAAACAAAACTATAAACAGTTACATAATATGTAGATCTAATTTGCAATGTAAAATACTAGATAATGCAGTTATTGGCACCAAAAACATTTAAACTCAAGGACTCACAGGAAAGTGCAACCAAGCTTTCTGGGAGAAATCAAGGACTGACTACAATATGCTTCAGGAATGTAACTAAACACTACAATTCTCAGCATAAGCATCATAATTCATAATTACATTAAAGTTAATTAGTCTCAAGCTAATCCCAAATCAGATAATCTATATAATTCTATCATCAGATTTCATATGGCCAAAGAGTAGATTTTTAACTTTTTGAGGGGAGTATGTCGTAAGATGTCCCAACCTACCCGATAATCGAGCAATACGGAAGTATACCCTGAAACAGGTGCCTCAACGGACAACTTGGGAACGCAAACATGGGTTATAATTCTATGCCACTCACTGCATAATCAAATGACAAAAAATCTTGATTGAGAAGATCTCTTCTGAATATTTAATTTGATTTTTCGATTTTTCTTAGTTGAATTTCTAATAGGGGTTCTTGTAATTTTCAGTATATCTGTTCTAGATTGTTAAAAAACAAGTTCCTACAAAGATCACATGTTTATCTTCTAATAAGCCTATGAGACACTCATTGGCGGACTTGGCCTTATGCCTGGTGGGTCAAATGACTCACCAGGGCCCAAAATATTTTTTAAGTTTTTTAAAAAAAAAATAAAAAAATAAATTATTTTCTAAGTTTTTTTTTATAAAAAAAATACTAACTTTGAACCTTTTGTTAATGTTGTTGGGTTTTTGATGAAATGTGAACCTAATGCTTGTACAAATTTTAATCTTGTCAATTATTAGTTTGTTAATTATTAGAGAGCTAAGCTTGTCATGTTGTCAATTATTAGCTTGTTAATTATTAGTTTGTTAATTTTAGTCTTGTCAATTTTAAGCTTGTTAATTATTAGTTAGTACTGTAATCTTGTCAATTTTCTATTTGGATGATCTTTGTAAATAATTTTTCTTGGGAATTTTGGTAAATTTTTTCTTTTTACATATTTGGTTATCAATTGTGACTCACCAGTCGGAAATTCCTGGGTCCGCCACTGGAGACACTTCAAACATACATCAATGAGTAAGCTCTATGGTTTTAAAAATCTACCATGATCAATTGCATACATGTGGACACAATTAAAACACAGAACTACAATTACAAGACTGTCGAAAACATCAAGATAAATATGCTTTCATGTTTACCAAATCATAAACTAGCTCTGAACATAACATGGATACCTAAAAGAGCTTCACAATCAATAAGTAATCTATAATCAAACTGCAATCAACTACTATTATACATTACATTTTGAAATCAGATAATGAGGTAATTAATCATATACTTATCTCCAATGATCATGCATCATAAACACCTGTTCATACAAAACAATTTTATTATTTTTTTTAATCAACAGTCTTTGAGGCTTCAATGGAGGATCGAGAAAGCTCAAATTCGCTTCAATGGAGGATCGAGAAAGCTCAAACTCGTTTCAATGGAGAATTCGAAGTGTAGTTTTCGCATTGTGAGGAGAGAGAGGGGTTTTACAATTTTTGGTTTTGGGGTTTGTTTTACGGAGTACAGTAGAAGTATTTGTTTATTTGTGCAAGAAAGGACGACAACTACTATTAATTTGCCCCCTTATTGTTTATCAAAGAGGGCGATTGTTGAAGTCGCCATTATTGTTTGATCAAAGAGGGCGAATTTTATTTAGTCGCCCTTATTGATCAGCTATAAGCCAACGACCAAATTTTCGCCCTTTTTGATAACAATATAATAGGGCGATTCTATATGCTCTATTTGATGGTGTTTAAGAAGGCAAAATTAAAGTCGCCCTCTTTGTCAGAATAAAATCGCCCTCTTTGATCTATTTTCTTTTAGTGAATATAAACACATCATTAATTTTGATATTTCATTTGCTTCAAATAACAACAAAATTTCATTTAGGATCGGACAAAAAAACGAAGGGAGTAATAGATATTAAGAAGTAACATTAAGCACAAAGTTATACTATGTATCTCATACTAGTCCTAATGCATAAAGTGTTGACGAGAAATATTATGTTATTAATTTGTGTTATTAATTTGTACTTACATATACTCTGTAATAATTAAAAGGTTAAATAAGATTTTACAATCACATGGCCCAATCTATGTCCTTGAGATATCTCTAACTTTATGTGATAAATAATTGTTAGATTTTGTAAAACACTTCAAATTGGAGTCGGTTTCATTAATCATTATATATAGGGCTACAATATTGAGTCCTAATTATAATAGGAAATCTCAAAGGATAATTTTACAAAATATATTACTTATATATTACAATAACATAATATCTTATCATATATTCTATCACACCCCCTCATGGCCGCAGTCATAGAGGGAGTAGGGATGTCAGTGGGGTGGGCCAAGTAGGAGATCCGCCCCAATGGGGCGGGGATGGGTCTCGGTTTGGCGGGTGGTGGGGCGGGGATGGAGATAAAAACCATACCTGCCATGGGTGATGGGGCGGGGGTGGATTTTAAGTTGTACCCGCCCCATCCCCGCCCCGCCCCACCCGCCCTACTTCGTACCCGCCCCATCCCCACCTCATACCCACATCTATATAACTTTTAAAGCAAAATTACATACTTTTATTCAATTTATAAAATAATTACATGAAATACAATATTAATTATAATACTTTGTACGACACTTATATTATAACACAAAAATGTGTATAGAATGTTTTATTTTATAATTCGTATTAGTTATGTAAGATTGTGTATTTGAGATACAGATATTAGGTGGATCTTCGGTGGGGATTAGGCGGGACTTTGGTGGGGATTAGGTGGGGATGGATATCCAAGTGGGGGTGGGGCGGGGATGGTTTTGGAGTTGTACCCGGTGGGGCGGAGATGGGGATGAAAATTGGACCCGCCGCGGGGATGGGGATGGTGTTGAATTGACTACCTTAATATTTTGATGATTGACTTACATAAAACAAACTCTGACTAATGATGTTTATGAGTCTTGGTTGAACAGAAAGATTCAGGTACACAAATACATGTTCCGGAGTAGGAACAACAGAGTTTGTAAGACATGATGATGAATGCAAGCTTTCAAGATGTCCTCACAACTCTATATACTTAGTTACTCAGTGTACGAGCTTAAGAAACAAAAGTGTTGGAAGGAATGGAAGGAATTAAGAAGAAACTCGAAGTTCCTGAAGGAACCTGTAGTTCCCGAAGGAACTTGACGATTGACTCAGAAAGTTTTAAACGAAAGTTTTAAACGAAAGTTTTAAAACAGTTTTCATATCCCTTAATTTAAGTAAGTGATAAAAATCAGTTTTGAAAAAGATTTAAAAAGATTTTATAAATAAATAAATAATTCATTAATTTAAAAAGATAAGTTTTAAATTAATTAATTATTTATCTTTTAATTAATAAATAAATACATAATTCATTAATTTAAAAAGATAAGTTTTAAATTAATTAATTATTTATCTTTTAATTAATTAATAAATAATTATCTTTTTTATTAAATAATTATCATTTTGAATAACTAATTTTTTTGACTTGGTAAATACTGGCTCCTAGTAATAAGGAGAACGTTGAACTTGGTAGTCAAGCTAAGGAAATCATGTTCCTAAATTTCCTCTGCCTACATCCCAACTTCTCAGCCAAAGAGAACGTGGGATTAAGGGGGAAGTGGGAATTTAATGGAAGCTTGAATATTCTCCTTATAAAAACAGATCAACGTTAAGTTTTGAAAGCGTGGAAAAACAATCTTAAGTATTCTGAGCATAGAGTTTCAAAGTGTTTAAAAGAGAAGTTCCTTCCATCCTTAGTGTCTTAAGTTCTTTAGGAAATACTTGTAATCATTGTGTAATTGGGTTTGGGTTGTGAGAGTTGTAAAGTGTGAGACTTGAGAGAGTTGTTTACACTGTACAAGTGATTCGGAGTAGAATCACAAAGTGTGAGAAACTGTGATTGAGGGATCACAGTTGGGTAACTTGAGTTCCTCACGGAACTTGAGTCTAGGCAACGTATTAGTGATTGTAAATCATTTTTACATAGTGAATTTATTCATTTCCTATCTCAGTGTCTTTTCTCTTAGTAGTAGATTTAATTCCGCAAAATTTACCATAGTCTACATACACTACAATTCACCCCCCCTCTTGTAGTATACATTGTTCTATCAGATGGGGATGAAAATATTAGGTGGGGATGGGGATGGGAAGACCAACATCCGCCCCGCCCCGCCCCGCCCCATTGACATCCCTAAGAGGGAGGAGGTTGATAAACACTTAAACTACATCTGAAATTTAAAAATAGTTGTCGAAGTAGCTCTTTTATGAAAAGAATTAATTAAATGACTACGTTTGTGAAAAGAGTTTTCCATTGTGTATATTGGAAAAAATATAGAGAAAAAGAGAAATGGAAGCACAAGATCGAGGAAGGATAGAGGTGGAAAGATAGAGAAGTTGAGGAAAATGTGGTATATCTTTTTTATAAAAGAAAATGATTTTTGCTCTATTGAAGTAACTTTGCACCAAAGTAATGAAATGAAAAAGAGCATCATGTTTGGGCGGTCTGGCTGACTCGTAACCATCATGTCTTTCAGAATGCAGTTTTTTCTCCTGTTTTCACTTCTTTTCTGGTCTAGGAATGGATCATCCGTCTTAAAGAGGCAGCTCGCTATTCTGATAGCCAGTTGTCCCATTAGCAGAGTTCCTCCATTCGTCCTCATGTTCGGTTCTCGCATTGGCTACAGGGCCTTGGCCACGAGTCTTTGGACATTTGTCTGATCTTTGACGGTGCTTGGGACAGTCAGAGCAATAATGCTGGAACGGGTATATTTTTCGAGTTTTGTCTTTGGACTTAGTTTTGGGAGGCGTTTCTCGGGCTTGTCATGCTTCATCTGCTCTTCAGGCAGAATTACAGGCTTGTTTCACTACTACAAAATGCGTATTTTAGCGACGTTGTGAGCTCGACACAGTGTAGGGGGCGTCAGCTGCTTGATATAGTATGCGTGTATCCTCGACGCTTATTTAAGTCAAAATTTATTTCCGACAGGTAAAAGCGTCGAGATATACCCACCTGCACGACACTTGACAAATTTCTTTTGGCCCGCATCATGGCATTACATTATAGGATAATAAAACCGCCGCTCTACATACCCTAACTCTCATAGTTTCATCAGTTTTAATTTTTTCATCTTTCTCCGTACCCAGTTCTCCAAAAACACTAAGAGATTCATGGAATTAGGATTTGGATCTGTATTTTCAGCGTGGTTCTTATAAATTGGGAAGCGGAATTTGCTTTTCTCTCATTCCTTTGTGCTAGTTAGTAATTATTCAAAGGTACTTTTTATCATTTTTTTAATTTCTTGTTAAAATTGAGTATTTTAGATCTAGAGTTTTAATTTTCAGAATTGTTACGATTTAATGATGATAGAGGGTTAACTCATGAAGAACAGAGATTTAAGGGTTTTGTTTATGCTTCTCTAGTAGAAACCCCACTGAGAGAGGTATTGAGATAAACGAGTTTAATTTGTTGCAAATTTAACTAATGTACTTATTCTGAAATTTCAGAGTAGCAATTGGGGTTCAGATTCAATCCTTAGTGGTTGAGCTAGGTTATTTTCCTCCCTTTACAGATCTGGTCTTCACTTTTTGAGTAATGCCTGTCCTTATTATGCCGTATTATTTTGCTAGATACAACGTTGTTTTAGAGGTCAATGAATTTATCCATGTTAGAATTTCTTCTTTTTTTTTTTCTTCTGTTATTTTGCTTTTTATAATTGTTGTGGTTTAATTTTGATGTCAAATTGGCCATTTTGTTTCAATTTTTGCTTAATTTCTGATCTGATTGAGTAAATAAGTGGGGTTTTGTATTTTTATTTTTTTGTACGATTTGCTATGAATTTTTTTTGGAGTAATTGGTTGGTTTCTTAATTGCAAAGTTCTTATTGTTTAAACAGAATGGGGAATTTGGCTATTTTCTTGAATTTATGGTTGTTACTTTAACTTTTTATTTTATTCTCTTCTTTAGGAAGTAATTACATACAAGTATTACGGGAGTAGTACTTAGTATCTTACTCAGTCCCAAAAAATTAAATAATTGGAGTTACTGAGATGGATTGGTGTGAGTATTAGTGTGTGACTAAACCATTTTAAACCTTATTTTTTGTTATTTTGGGAAGCTTAAGTATCAACTGATATTTCCAAATAAAAAACAATGCAAGCTAGATTAAATATTAAACCCCTTTTAACATCTAAAAGACTGAAACCTTAAGTTATTTATAAGAAATCAAACCTGTCTTTTGGGTAGGAACATTTTTTCTAGAGTGACAAGAGAAGCCTCCTAGTTATGTTGGATTACTTTTTGTGGGAGATCATATCTGTTATGTGGTTGTGTCGGTGTTTTAGATTTTTCAACAATTAGATTTTTTTTTTTTAGATTTGTCGTAGTACTAATTTTAGTTGCCTTGAGCTGCAGTTTTGTTTGTCTTAAAATGATATACCTGCAGTTGATATTATCCCATAATCCCTTCATAAAAGATATATATCTTGAAAAGTTATCCAATCTAGGCTCAAGAATTTCTAGATTTGGAATTGTGTGCTAGAAGTTGTGCCTTTTGGAAATTTCAGTGGTCTGCTGCCATGGTTCTATCGCAGCGGGGATGTTTATTGCTCTCTTAAAGCCTATGCGGGTTTATTGCTTTGAGTTGGGGTGTGTTTGCTTAAATGAATACTTTGGCTTTACTTAAACATGAAGTGGCTAAATTTAAGTTGGGTGGGCTTCCTAAGATGATAAGTAGGTGCTTTGCCCGCGTTAAGGTCTTTATTATGTCTCCTGCCACACGAGCAACAATTGTTTTTGGAATCTAGATCATCTGTGTGTCCTTTCTCTTTCTTGTTTCTTTCTTTCATAATATAGGACCTGAGATGCAACTATAAAAACTACGAAGCAGGTTTCTCAAACTTGCATTGTTTTATAATCGATGGAACTCTTGATTTCCTACATCAGTATGTATTTGGCAGCATGAAGTACTTTAGTGTTGTGGACTAAGAATTTCAGTACTCTTAGCTTCAGCAATGAAGCCAGAGGTAACTAGTGTTAGAAACCTTGTTATGCAGCTGGTTACCTTTTTTATTACAAATCTGTAGTCTGTCTTTTAAATCTAATATAATTTGTCTTGTCGGGACTATAATCCACTAACTAGAAACATGTTTTATTCAACCAACAAAAATATATGGCAAATTTTAACTTCCGGCTCTAACATGCTTGTTATTGATGCAGGATGTTATGACTATTATATGTGTCAAGTCTACAAATTAATCAAGTCATTCCATGAAGACATTAAATTAGCTCCAATTCAATAGAGAGAAGTTGCGTGTTTTTCGAAATAATTGTAGTATTGCAACTACGCATTTTTATTTAATGTTAGCAGTTTAAGAGATCGAATGTCTTGTAAATGAATATTAGTTTAATAATGTTAGAATATAATCATAGTTTTTTGCATTATTTCACATATGTATACATATAATAATTTGTACTCTTGTTTAATTATGAATAAATTCAATTTATGGGTAAACTTTTTCTTCTGATTTTTTTTTTAATACTACGATATGGAGTATCTTTGCAAGTAATATAAATATTTTCCACATTGGATATTTTTATAGAGAATATGGACTTGAAAAGGTGTTACCCAATTTTAAATTATGGACACAAAAAACGTCGGTAGAATATCGTACATTTAAAGTATGAAATCAGAGACTTAAAAAGCGTTGCCAAATATGAGATTATAGACACAAAAAAGCGTCGAGAAATTTGAGAAAGTGCGCGACACAATGCAAATATCGACGCTTCGTATACGAATTTGGACAATAAAAAGCGTCGATATTTGCGATGCTTTTTGCGTAGAGGAATTTTCTCGACTCACTATTGTTCGACGCTTTTAAGAAGCGTCGAGAAAATAATTTTCGACGTTTTTTGGTGTCGAAAATATGCCTAAAAATGTCTAAAAACCACGGAAATTATAGTAGTGTTTGTGGGCTCTTTTGTCGGCCTTACGAGGGTTTTGCAAAGGTCCTCCTTTACTCAGATTGTGCCACCCTAGTCTTTTTGCTGAGTGGTTCTCGTTCCTTTGATATCGAGTGTCTGGCTCTAGGAGATTGATTATGACTAGCAGGATTTCGCCGCTTATAGGATTAGTAAGGTTCCTCGATCATGGGTAGCCCCTGCCCACTAGCTTACGGTGAAGGCTCGTCAACGACGTGTTCTTTTGTACTCCTTTTAATGTTTAGGTTTATATCTTTTAGTTCCATTTGTCAAAAAAAAATAACTTTGCACTTATGGAAATATTGTTTTCAATTTCTTAACAAAACAAACAAAGGAAAATGAAGAAATTAAGAAAAACATTTTTTTTTTTTTTTTGAAAAGTTGTTCCTCCAAAATAAAGGGTCCAATTTCCTAAAAAAAATAAAATAAAAGGTCCATTTTTTAGAGGGAAATTTATCAATAATCACAAGTCTATACACTTAGTTGTCCAAATAAAACAAAAAAAAAAGGTCCATAAACTTTAATTTTTGCAGCAACTTTTGGTGTAGTAGGCCACACTGTGTGGCAGGGATTACCCGAGATTTAGTAAAGGGTTACTCAAGTTACTCAGTCAAGGGTTACTTAAGATTTCGCACGGGGGTTACTCGGTCAGGGGTTACTCAAGTTACTCGGTCAAAGGTTACTTGAGTTACTCGGTTAGAGGTTACACGGTCATGGGTTATTCAAGATACTCGATCAGCGGTTACTCGAGTTACTCGGCTAGGGGTTATTTAAGGAGTTCGGTCAGGGGCTACTCGAGTAATTCGGTCTGGGGTTACTTAAGAAGTTTGATCAAGAGTTACTCGAACAGGGGTTACTTGTGGGTTCAGTCAGGGATTACTTGAGGAGTTAATTACTCAGTTAAAGGTTACTTAAGGGGTTACTCGAGGGGTTCGATCGTGGATTACTCAAGGGGTTATTCGGCTAGGGATTACTTGTCAGGGGTTACTTGTGTGGGGTTACTTTGTCAGGAGTAACACAAGTAACCCCTGACCGAGTAATCCCGGGAACTCGAGTAACCCCTGACCGAGTAACTCGAGTAATCTCTGATCGAGAAACGAACTCGAGTAACCCTTATTGCACGATATAGCACGTGGCATACAAAAAATTGTAAAATTTTTGCCACTAAGTAGCAAAATCCATCAAGTAAGATTTGATCATTCAATGTATGGATTTGATGACATCACATATTTTCCCTACACCAAAATTATCTTTAATTTGTAAATTTCCTAAAAGATTCAAGTAATATCATAAGATTAATTATTAAGCTACCCATCAACAATCTTATCATTAGTTGTCTAAGGAGAAGTCTCGTTCAATAGCAATCCGTATTTCCACACACTAATCAATGATGTTAACTTCACGACTCACAATCATGTCTTTTTCATTATTTTTGCCCTTAGCGTTGAACTACGAGCAAAAAACCATTATATCAGGAGATTTGAAAATCTAAGTAATGGATTTTCTAACGTCAATGATATTTACAAATAGGCAAATTTTCCATTATAAAACAACTAGTAGTGACCTTTTTATGTCTAGTCTTAAAGTCACTAATTTTTACAATAATTGTGGTTGTATGTAATTTGTATTTGTATGTGTATTTGAAGTCTTTTGCAATTGTTGTGAGGTCCTAATACTATATTAGGAACTAACTCCACTCATGTAGTCATGTGTAGAGTTTCCTTATATTTCCCTTTTCATCACTTAGGTTTTAAAAAAAATATAAAGAGAAATCTTTATTGGTAGCTTTTTGCCTTTTTGTTTTCACTAACTTTTTTTGTATTTGTATGTAATTCATAATAATAAAGCCCTTAAACAAAAATTAAGCTCACTTATGGCATTGGCATTAATGATGCCTATTTGGACTAATTTTTTTAATTATTAACCATAATTAACTTAACAATGTAAAATGCTTAAATGCCCTTGTTGATGTCTCCAACAACATACGATATCATCATGCCAGACCACCAGGAACCGCTATATACATAGGTGGCAGGGCAATGATCGAGCACTTCCTGCCCTCTTCTTCTTTTTTTCATCTACGAGTACTTCGACCTTTCTTGGCAACTCTAAATTGCTAGAGGGTACGTATATTTGGCACAGTGCACCAAAAGCTTTTTTTTGGGGGGGCTCATTTGGATTATTAATATTTATTTGAATGTTTTGCCATCAAATGAACAAAAAATAACTTTAGTATACCTTGCACCCGAGTGTACATGAGAATTTTCAAAATTACAAGGCTTTCTCACCATTTCCTTTCCCTATTTTCCGCCACCCACTTCAATTCCTTTTAAACCGGCCTTATTACTTCAGTGATTACTTTACGACGACTTTGTACAATTTCCATCACAACGCTACATAATTAATTAGAACTTTTATGGACAAGTTGGGGTTTATTTAAAGTAATTAAATTGAATTTGTATTTTTACTTAACTAGCATTACTTTTTGTATGTATAGTTGTGTTAGAAATCTTTTACAATAGATGGAGGTCCAACTAATTATAGTTCCTTTTATTTTTGACCCAAAAGAATGGAATATACTTCGTATGCAAATAACAAAACATGCAACATCATGTAAAATAAAAGGTTAAAATTAAGAACTTTTTTTTTATAGGAGTGGAATGACTTGTAAAAAGCATATGGGCTATGATTATGTCATTGACTGTTTGACATGAGTCAATTATTGGCGAATGGTTATTTCATGAATTATCCAATAACTATGCACAATGCATTGATGCCACAAGTTTGGGTGCGAGAAATGCGACCATGCGGGGCTAAACTTTATAGATGTAGGTTTGATACTCAAATTCTTAGAAGATCGACTGTGTCGAGAGCTACGAGCACTCCATGCTAGCTTGTGCAAACATTATACATGTACTACATATTTTATATTTCTGCCTCCATTTCTTATTGATTGCAAAAAAGTAATTTTTAATATCTCACAAATAATACCAGATATTATACACTAATTATAAATAATCGGAAGGGCTAGAGCCTAGAAGGATAGAATGAATAGTGTGTCGAATCTTTGTTACCTGATGTATACGGTAAATATAATAGGTCACATGTTTGATTTCTTAGCTTCCTGCTCTATATTTAACTTTTTTACTCGTAATTAAACCTGGTTATTGGGTAGGTCAGTTCAGAGTCGATGTGGGTCGATTGCGAGTTTGGTCAAAAAGGGATACATATTATAGGGTCAATAGCAAGTCGGACCAATGCAGGTCGCGGGTCAGTAGCAGGTTAACATAATATCATCAATTAAATAAATATTGGACAAAACCATTAGTAAGTTTATATGAATACAAATTATCTATGTAATTATTTTACATTATCTATTTTCTGTATTAATTATTAAACTGGAAAAACAATTTGGCCCTGTATTAAGTTATTGATCCTATTCAATAAGGGCTATGTCCATTAAAAACCATGTCATTAAAAGTCTTTTAAATTTGACTCTAATTCTATTATCATTAGGCTACCTTAACTAATAACCAAGTCTACTCGTAGTTAAGAAAATATTAAATCACATCATCATTTGAAGATTAAATGACAAGCAGAGCATGGTGTGAGGTGTGAAGCTGTGAGCTTTGAAGCGACGGCTTAAGTGAAGGTCTGTTCTCTTCAACTTATTGTCAATTCAGTTTAGTTTCTAATTTCCTTCTCTCATAAAATATTCAATTCACTTCACTTCAACTCATTTCAGTAAATAAAAATAGACCCTGAGTACGGGATTGTTTTTCAAAATAGTAATGTGAATTGTTGATAGTTCAGCTGCAACATGACATGTACTATCATGCACACTGTAACTCGTGGTTCTTCTAAGCTTACCATGTGAGTTCCCATGTGTAATGGTCCCATTCCTATAGTTATACTTTTACTTCAATTCCTAACTATTTCGTGTTTATCATGTCATTTTTTTCATAATTAATTTAGTATCAATTTCCTCCATCTAACTCGATATATTTCTTGCAATTCTAGATATTTCGTTGCCGATACTAAACCAAATATTTAGGGTTCGGGTTTAATCCTCTAACTTTTTTTTTTTTTTGAATAGTTAATCCTCTAACTTTTTAATTAGCAATAATTAAATATTCTATATATATGCGTATGATATTTAACCATTATTGTACCACAACCTTTTTGTAATTGCAACGTGTTATTTATATGTCATGCCAATTTATTATATGATTTTATCCTTACTTACATAAGTTAATTACATTACGTTTACACGTGTGGCCAAAGAGAGAGTTCAAATAAAGAAAAAGAAAATTATTGTTGTGCTATAGCTTTTATAATATATGGCCCAATTCTTGTCTCATGCTTAATGATGTTGTCATTTGATTCTTTTGATTTGTTGCATTTCCATTACAATTTACAAGTGACCCAAAGTACTAAAGGCAGATGATTAATACAACGTTACT